GGATTAATGCCACACCCAAGGACACTAGCGCATCTATAGTTTCGAACCCGGGACATCCCGGTTACGGGACCAAGTATCAAGTATCAAGTTTATTTGTCATCCAGAAAACACATGTGACAAAATATAATAGAGTATAATCATAACAGAACAATGTAGAATAGAGTGAGCCAGTTGGTAATGGACTTTTTTTTGGAAGAAAAAACGAATTACGCCTTGTCCTTGAGGTACAACAGTCAACGTTAGCAACTGTACCATAATATTATTTTTGGAATATTCAGTCCGTCGCACAAAGCCCAACCCCAACAAGTTCCCATGAACAAGAACCTTGCAGTAATTGACCGTACCAACCCTATAAAATATGACAAAGCAATGACGGTTTACAACAATAGAATCTGACAACTAAAAGTGAAAACTCAAATCACTGTAGACATTATATCTTTGTTATGGTTATGAAAACAGTGGAAAATAAGAGTCATTTCTGACAAATATCGTGGAAGTTCGAGGGGGTCGCAGGGGTTTTGGCCCTCTATTTTAATTTATTTTAAAAAAATCATCTTGCATGTCTATCACTTTATGAAGGCAGTCATTCTATGGAGTATGGATGAAGCAAGTCCGGGGGAAATATCGAGAACCTAACCACGTTTATTTTCATTTTTTATGACAAGAGAAGCCTTAAAGTCTAGATTTTAAAAAGGAAAAGAAAAAATATGCCCAACCCCCCCCCCCCAAAAAAAAAAAGAGAGAGAGAAAAGGGGGAAAAGATTTTTTTTTTTTTTTTACCAAGACCCACTTTGTAAGTTTCTTATTATTGCTTTTTAATTGTTTATAATTGTAGAGCATTATACATCTTATTTTTTTAGTGCGTACCGACCTTCTGCCATCCCCACATGTTCCTGCCAACCCCCTTCAGTTCCCTTGTCTAACGGTTTAACTATTTCCTGTCTCTAATATTTTCCGTTTTCCTAACAGTTAAACTATGATTTTGTTCAGAGAACAAAGAATGGGGGAGTAGGGGACCAATCCTTGCAATGTTTCGAAAAACAGACCTAGGGAAATGTGGAAGGGAATACATTTACGAAACGTGAACCTCGGATAAAGGAGAACATCTGTGAGCTACCTCAGAAAATACTGCAATCACGAAAGAAAGTACAACTGAAATATTCATACCCTTACTAAGTTTGGTAATTTCAGAAGTATTGTAAATAAAAGTATAAAACAAAATTGATTAATGTTTCATTAGAATGTGACATATTGAAGCTTACATCTATACGGTCGTATGAAACAAAGGCCTTTAATTCAACCAGTCCTACCTATCAAAAATAAGCGAAAAAGCATACAATTTACAAGGGGTACGAATAATTTAGTTGTTAATGTTTTTTTTTAAATATCTGCCAATCACACCCCACCCCTACTCTTCTTAACAAATAGGAAACTCATACTACACCAGCGTTGTGACCTTCTCACTGTGTTAGTGTATTTCATCGGAGAATATGCTACCCAATGATTGGATAGTCCAAGAAAGAAACGATGACGTTTCAGTTCTGAAAACAATGACAATTTGGAACCAACAGTGCCCCTGTCTTTTCATTTTAACTCTACTCAGAAGGAGTCATAGGGCGCAGGCTTATATTTTAGGGAGTGCACTGTTCTAGAAAGTTTCCCCACCTGCTTGAACGTCTGTTTTGGGAAAAATCACGTCATTTTCTAAGTATTGCTTGGGGAATTCAAACAAAGCGATCAAACTCATAAAAGGAAGACATCGCTCTGATTAATTCAGACTTTGTTTGGTGAACAATCTGAGCTGGAACAAAAAAGACTTTTGTGAGCATCACTTATTGAGAATCCTGACACGAACTGTAAAATTGATGTGCTGAAATCTTGTGCTAAGATTGCAAAGTGACAGAGATTGACCACGGCCACGATTTGTAATTGTGATTTTGAAAGAACGTTGTTTGACACTAAGATGGCATCTGCACGAGATTGTGGCACCTCATCCGGTGTAAACTTCAGCACATCGACCGAAGCCCAGACCGGCACGAACATCTCCGAAACCAGCACGAACACCGCTTCGCTCAACCTCCGAGACTCGACATCGCAGATGGACGGCCCGACGATGATGAACACCATGGCCCAGGCGAAACCGATGACGGACACGGCGATGGCTGGCGTCGGTCCGACCACCGAAGAGGCGTCGACGCTCATCTCCTCCAACGGGAAAGATTTCTCAACGCAGTCGAACATGGCGATGGAGGGGAGCGACTTCGGGGCGAGCACCGACATGACGTCAGTGAAAACGGCTGGGATAATGACGTCGCCGACTCATAAAACGAACGCGACATCGCAGTTCCATTCGACCACGACTTCTTCATCGACGATGTCGGCTCCTTGTATGCAGGATCTTGGTACGTCGCCGCCGATGACCGGGAGTTCGACCAGGCAGACGCAGTATGAGTCTACTACCATCAGCAAGGCGATCAACACGAGAGAGTAACAGGATAAAGTTCGACGTAAATGTTATTCTGATTATTATTAAATAGATGTTTCGTTGAGGGAAGGAATGGGGGTAGGGAGCACAATATTATGTAAATACATGTAAGTATCAATACACACATTTTGAACGTGGTAAAAAGAAAAGTATCAATCTAAAAACATGTTAATTTATCAGAGTAAAATGCATATAAAATGACTTTAAAATATTAGTATGTGTCTTAATATTGCGTAGACTCATTTTTAACGTGCATTCTTTAGTTCTTTGTTGTATATCTGATGTTGACTTGATTTGATTTGATTAGCATTATGTAACATCGTCATCCTTCCATCTTCAAGGGGGAAGGAGGGGGGGGGCATTAATTGCTCTAAATAACAAAAACGCAATCCAAATTATAGTACATGTGTTTTGTATACCATACGTTTTTCCGAATTGCATTTGACTTGATATAGAAGGCTTGAAGCCGCTTGAACGACTCACATGCTTCACTATGCCTCTCACAATAGCCAGACTATTTTTTATATTATCAATAAACGGCCGATGATCATTCTAATCCATTCATTAAGAGCATATTAAGTGATAGCGATACAATATATATAATGTAATTTGAAATATTCGATGTAATCAATAATTTCTATTTGTTTTATTTTCTTCTTTTACAATGTATCAAAATTAATCGAAGTTTGACTTCATTTTATTATCGAGTTTCATGCCGTTAACAAAAACATATTTGTATTATACGCATTTTCTTTTATTTACAACATCTTTTCAAAGATGATATTTTGCAAAGAAATTGTATAGCCTAACATAAACCTAATTAAAAGCATTAAAATGAAAAAGACCCATTATTTTGTGGCAATGGAGAAATTTGATTTTTTTTTCCTCCACGTTTTGACCAAAGAGAGGTTAGAAAAAATATAGAACCTTGGGCGGTGATCACACAAAAGGAGACTGTGAAAAGGTATATTGGTTTAGTCGTTCTGGTTTGCTATTGCAAGGAATTCTCGTTCTCATGATTGAACCACTGTCACCGTGCAGCTATAGTACTATACAAAATGACAGCTCCAAATATGGTCCAAAAGGCTTCAAGTGTTTTTTTTTTATATATAATGTATATAATCATGTAGTTAAAAAGTAAGAATGATATATTTCAAGGGGTGGGGAAGTCGGACATCGTCAAATCGATTTTTGCACCATTTCTCCGATACCACTTACAATCATGGCATGTCTACATCAAGCTCGTCTGGATTTTTCAGCGTTCTAGCAATTAATTATCTTTACTGAAGTTATGATATATATTGTAAGAAAAATATAGTATTGTTTTGTCCTCTCTTTCTTCATCGTCGCTGTATATCAAATTTTCATTGTAAAAAATGTAGCATACATATGGATATGAAAAATCTTTTTTTCTTCAAATAAAGTTGTAATTTTTATTCTATTGATTGTTTTAGTTGTACTATGTCTCATTTGGGTGATTGGCTGGATATAATATGTTTTGGTATATTCATAATGGTTTATGCCCTTTGAATGACCCATTCATTATAATTTATCAATTTGGTACTAGGCACTAATAAACGAGCCTTAACTGCGGTATGGATGTTTGATGATTAGGCGAGGGGCGGGGGGAAAAAGAGTGAGAAATAGAACTGAATCAGACATAAGAAGTCAATGAGAGAGAGAGAGAGAGAGAGAGAGAGAGAGAGAGAGAGAGAATGAGAGAGGGGGACAAAGGGTAACAGGGAGATTATTTTAGAAAGGGCAAGAATGAAAGCTGCAAGAGAATGTAAGAGAAATATGAAAAATATAATAAAAGTATGTTATCATACCAAGGGGGGGGGGGGGGGGCATTGTAAAGGCAAGGAAAGAGAAAGGGGAGAGAGGAAAAGGGGAGGTTTAAAGATGAACACAATAAAACCTGTGAAACAGAGAATGTATGCCATTGTATGGACATTAGAAGAGTATGGGGAAAAAAAGAGTGATGTCAAGACGAGAGACAGCTAGAAAGTCCCAGATCAAGGGAAATTTAAAGGCACATCTAAAACACTCTTTATTAAAGAAATATTATATATCACCTTTAGCATGTCATTATTGTTTCAATAACTTTGTGTCAATATTGACGTTTGATAAAAAAAAATGTGTGACCAATTGACCAAAACCTTTGATCGAAAAACAAATTACTTTGCCATAATACATCAGTAAATCAGACACTCAGACAAGCAATCAACACATACGGAAAGCAGTCAAAGAATTAACCTACCAGAACATCATTCAGAGACATCAACCATCAACCAATCAACAACGTAACTCATTAGCCAATCAATACCAAGCAAGCAAACAATCATGTTTAAATGTACAAGTAGGTCATGCAGTATTCATCTTACTTGCCAGTTGCCACCTGAAATCTTCTTTTCCAGTCTCCATAGCAACTCTTTGAACTCTTTTTCTTGTACATTCATGCTGAATTCACATGGCTGAAATAGTGCATAAGGAAATATAGAAATTTACTATTAAATTTCAAGAAAATGTACACATTTAATATCAACTGTCTTTCTTCTTCACAATTTACTGTTTCATAGTCATAATAGAGCTGAAGATGTGCATAATCATGTGCATGTGGTTATCAGACTAACAACCTATACAAATTTTAAAAAAATACATGTACTTCACAAAGACTTAATACTTATAATACATATTAAACGAAGGTCTCTCAGGATAATGATCAGATTATTAAACACATTTTCCACAAAGACACTTTCAGTCCCTGAAAATATGCATTAAAAAGAATATGAATCATACTAGTACATGTTGTATACTCTACATTGACCTTTTTTCATACCACATGTTTAGTTGAAATAAAATTGCATGGTAACATATTTCTCAACATGTGAAACAAATATTGAAAGTGGTCTAGAACTGATTGAAACAAATACATGTACATACAAGCAAGTTTTGAGAGCCATCACTGTAAAACAAAGATTAAACGTAATGTATCTCAAATGTTGTTTTGTATGTAACATTTGATATTCACACTTGAATAATAAGGTAGAAATAGTGGTAGACTTTGTCATTAGGCATACATGTACAAAGAAATCAGGAGAAAGACAAAAACAATCACTGCTGTACTATGGTATGTCTTGGTTTTGTGAATGTTATAGATACGTGTTTTCATGTGATCACTGCTTGCAACTCAAAAAACAATCGAGAGCATCCATTAATTCAAAGTTTCAAATGTCTTACTACAAATATCTGATGAAAAGTATATGACATCACTTTGGAGTTTAAGCACCCAATATAATTTTTTTAAATATTTTAATTTTTTATCCAAAGATATTCAATATGAAACAAGCTTATGAAAACTATGGATGGTAAATTACACTCGCTCCCTTCTTTATGTTTATACTCAGCATCTTTTCACAACTCATGATGCCAATTCATAACAGAGTAGATCTGATGCTTTTAAATATAAAGTGTGGAGCATCACTGTTTTTATGTTAACAGTTGAACAAAATGACATTGATGTAAATTTTTTCTCTCCCAGGCATGTCCCATCACAAGATTCCAACAGGAAACATTTGTTGAATTCTCCCATTAAAAAATTGAACATGCTGAAAACAGCTGAATCCATCTTACCAATGAGAATGGGAAAATGTATCATGCCTTTTCTTTCAAATGATTTAAGAGTAGTCACTCTGCCTCTGTCTTGAGATGTTCTTGTACATGTAGATCAAAATAATCATGCAAATCCTGTAGTTCTTACGTTGATCATGTTTAGTTATATGTCTTTACGGCCCATGGGATCGCTGATCTCCGAATTAGCAGAGGGAGAATAAGATGATGATGATAGTGGGATTCGAGAAGATGAAGAGTGAATTATACCAGCCATCACTGATTGGAAGAGATGTAGATGTATAAATGATGGATAAGCCACTGTTCCTCAGTCTTTTTGTACAAGCATCACAAGACACAAGAACTTCCTTCCTTGTTTTCCAAGTTAACACAATCCTCCTCTGATGACCGCTGACTAGTTTGAGAAGTAAACCATCAAGGCATCATGATGATGGAAATTACGGAAACAAGTTTGAATAATACTTAAGTCTCTGAAACTCTGCAGAGTTTGAGATATTGCCTCTGTACATCGTGAATAACTTCATGTTTGTCCAGGATTCAGGTAGCATAACTGTCTCAATATCGTTGGGAAAGTATTTGACCATGCAAACTTACATGTACAAGTCAAGTGCAAGTATGATGAGCCATGCCATGAGCCTGGCAATGTCATCGGCATGATCAGGTCCGCAACTCAGCTCCGCATCCTCATGATCCTTGTGCAAGCTCTGGACATTGAAGTACTACTCTGCAGTTTTTGGTTACATGGACAGGTCTTCAGAGAAAAGAGTCTCAACAAATGGTCATTCGCCACCTCTAAATTCTCCAATCCGACTTGAAGTGGATGGAACAGGTCTGGGATCAAACCCAATCCGTGCGCGAATTCTCTCATCTCGGGTTTTCGTGTCCACAACCTCACCAGCGGGAACTACAGTTTCTTGGTGGGCCGCTGCCCCGTTGGATGTGCCTGCTTGTCCGTTCTTCTCCGAAGTGTTCAAGCCCACAACTTGTTCAGCTATCCGTTTCTGTTCTAGCTCCTTCTTTATATTATCGAACTCCTCAAGATCTTCCAACTTCAACACTATACGTGTGGGTCCTCGTTTGATCATGTTTGCAGTTTATATTTATTGTAGGCTGCGGAAGAGTCACAATTAATTCAGTTTCTAAGTTTGTTTCACTCAACTGAAAATTCGCGCGTTTACTTGCACAAGAACTGAATGAATCGACTAGACTTTGTAGAAAATCATACGTAAGGTGTCGTTAATGGGTTGTTCTTCTTCAATAAGTGGCAACATCTTGTTACGACATTGCGCACAATACGCGACAAAAATGATGCAACCAGGGAAAGGAGAGACTTGTTAAGATGTAAATCACCTTTTATGAGTTACCTTCCCGCAGGTATTTTTCACCCTGTTCGAGCATTGCTTCTTCTCAAACTTTTGTAGCCAAAAGGGAAAAAGTTGAGAAAAAAAATCCAGGAGGGTCGAACGAGGCGGTCTTGGGGCACGGTTTGTGTAATGCACTCCCTTGTCCCTTCACACATTACATTAGGCAAACAATCTTCCACAATGATCTAAATCCTACCCTATATAATTAATTCTCATGAACATACTTGTTGTCATTTCGATTTCTTACTGAATCTGTAATTTGCATTTGTCATTTGACTTGTGATTTTATTAGGCTAGTTTGTTAACTTTAATATCATTTGTTTGCCATTTGAAATGTTGAATCTGTTTTTTGTGCGCCTTGAGTGCCAATATAGGCAGAAAGATATGTGCCGTAATGTGCGCTTTATGATAAAACCTGACTGATTTTGGAATACTAGCATAGTAATACACAATGATATTTTCATTCAAAAAAACGAATAAAAGAAACTCTTGGGAATCATGAAACATACACAAGCGAAGATTTTCAAACGTATGTCACTTTCCCTGACATAGTTGAGCACAATTTTCTGCACATATGTTTGTGTATTTAACGGACCCTTTTTTTTTAACTTGGGCTGTCGAATTTCCAACCCTTTCCGCGTATCTTCTTATCGCCAGTGAGTTTGATGCTAAACCCTTTTCCAGAGGCGGCGGAGCAACTTCCAAATTGGGGGGGGGGGGGGGGGGGGGGACCAACAAAAAGGGCACTTTCAAAGGGGAAATCTCAAAACGAACATATACCATTTTTAGACATTCTATTGTGATTACACTATCAGGGATGATTTTGTTTATTTATCATACAATATTGATGAAGCATCATACTTTGCAGTTGGGTGTGAAGGCCTGAAAGTTCATTTGCGAGCGAGGAAAAACTTTCAGTTTTGTGAGGTCGCAGTGCGAAAAATTACATTTTATAAAGAGGAAAAACCCAACCCTGGCACTCACCAGTAATGAAAAAGACACTCATGAGAATGGAATATGGGCATTTGTCGACGGAAAAGAGGCATCCATCAGATTTTGATAGGGGCATTTACAAAAAGTGAAAAGGGGCATTTATGAAAAAAGGATAGGCCTAGGTTCTTTTTTTTAAAAGAAAGAATAAGGGGCATGTATCATTGTTAAAAGGGTAATTATCAGAGGTGAACAGGGGCACGGACCGTATTTGAAAAAGGGCGCTTATGAGAATGAAAAAGGGAGACTAATAATTAAGGGAAATGTGCATTTGTTGTAAAAAGGGGCACCGATCAGATTTTATTAGGGACTTTTATCGGAGGTAAAAGGGGGTTGTTATAAGGAGAGGGAGGTGGCTCTTATTATAAATAAAAAGAGGTACATGTTAAAATAAACGGGGCATTTATCAGAGGTGAAAAGAGGGTAATTATGAAAAGTGGAAGGGGCACTTATAAGAAGAAGAAAGAGAATTTATTTGGAAGGAAAAGGGGGACGTGTCAAAATAAAAGAAGCATTTACTAGATGAAAAGAGCACTTATCAGAAGGGGTAAGGGCACTTGTCAAAAATAAAAAGAGTATCTCTCAGAATTAAATAGGGTCATTTACAGAAGATGAAAAGGGGCACTTATGAGAATGAACAGGAACTATGTATATAGGTAAAAGGAACTATGTATATATGTAAAAGGGGGTTGTTATAAGGAGAGGGAAGTGGCTCTTATTATAAATAAAAAGAGGTACATGTTAAAATAAACGGGGCATTTATCAGAGGTGAAAAGAAGGTAATTATGAAAAGTGGAAGGGGCACTTATAAGAAGAAGAAAGAGAATTTATTTGGAAGGAAAAGGGGGACGTGTCAAAATAAAAGAAGCATTTATTAGATGAAAAGAGCACTTATCAGAAGGGGTAAGGGCACTTGTCAAAAATAAAAAGAGTATCTCTCAGAATTAAATAGGGTCATTTACAGAAGATGAAAAGGGGCACTTATGAGAATGAACAGGAACTATGTATATAGGTGAAAAGGGGCATTTATGAGAAGGGGAAGAGGCTCTTTTTTATTGGGGGTACTTATCATAAGGAAAAGGTGCACTCATTAGAAAGGAAAGGGGCACATATGAACATATAAGGTACGCTTATCCAAGTTAAAAAGAGGTACTTATTAGAAGGGGAAGGGGCACTTCTTACAAAGAAAAAGTGGCACTTGTCAAGTTGTCAAAGCAAAAGGGGCACCTCTCAGCTTCGAATAGGGCAATTATCAGAGGTGAAAGGGGTCTTATCAAAAGTGAAAAGGGGCGCTTCTCGTACCTGACAAGGGGCACTTACTAGAGATTAAAAAGGGCACTTATGAGAATGGAAAATGGACACTTATTGTAAAGGAAAGTTGGAACTTGTCAAAGGAAAAGGGGCACATTTTCTATGTAAAAAGGGGCACTTTTGGGGTACTTGAAAAAGTGGGGGGGGCACACCTAGTCTCGTTTTGCAAATCTAAAAGTCACTAATGTGTGGTCTCAACAGGGAGAGTGACGGCCGATTGATTCTTTCTTTTTTCTTTGATCATTAAAACCTTTACAAGATACCATAGTACATTTCCGTTGACTTTCAGTCGACAGGCTCAAGAAAAACTGGCTTCGATTTTAGGTATGATAATAGCTTGAAATTTTAGCTTAATTTAAATTTGGTGTTTCTGTTTTCAAGTGATAATTGATCATACAGTTATATAGTTGCCCATACATAAGATTTCTTTGAATTATCACTCTCTTGATATATGTAATAATGGATTTTAATGTTGTCATGGGAATAAGCCCAGTCCGATGTACTTAATTTTGTGTAAAGTTTACAACATAACTCTGCGGACGGACTGTTCGATTGGGGCGGGGGTACGGGTGGCCGGGGCGGGAGCTGGGGGGGGGGGGGATTACGGTACGACAAAGTAATAATGGTAAGCGACTTCAAGCTCAACTTGTCCGCCACAAACAATGCAAAGCCCTCTTTCGCAGTTTCAGTCTTTGACTTTTGAGTTTGACTTTGACTTTGGTCTTTATTGCCAAGCACGTACTTTGCACCTTGAGCGCTGTACACAGTAGACTACAGTGAGTTTACGCGCTCCCATTAGCGGATCCGCTCGAGTCACAACTTTTTTAGTCGATGGGCAGCACCATCATATGTCGAGCATATGTCATTTTTATTGGGTAGACCATGGGCATGACTGGCAAAAAAGGTGATGATCTTAAACTTAAAGTTAAATTGGCAAAGAGGGCTAAGTGAAACACGTAGTGGACACGTAGCTTACTATTACTAATATTGATTTCGTCAAGAAGTTAGAAGTGTGATGGTTTCGAGAAACGGGGCCTCAGACTGTTTGGTATTGAACTATTTCTCCAAACAATTAAAAAGAGTCCAAATCCCCATGATATCACCCACCCATCCTCTGTTACCCTTGATATGAGTCTGCCATTTTATATATTTGTTCAAGTCGCATTCAAACTTTTATTTCCATTTCAGAACTCTACTGGGTAGATATATATGTTATTTTGTCTTCCAAGTGATATTGCATATACCTTATTCATTCTTTTCAACAGAGAACTTGAGTTAGGATGTCGGTTGATTTCAAGGTAGCTCGTAAGGCATGGCGATCTCTGAGTGGCTTGTTTGCAGTCTACAAGCCAGAAGGACTTTCACCTCAGAAAGTCAAGCATATTGTCAAGATGACTCTCCTTGAAGGTAAGAAACAAGAAATGATCACAAAATCCTGGTTTTCTGAAAAATGTTGGTCCCTGTTGTAAATAATCATATAAAGGTTGATACAATTGTGCCAAATTTTAAGTCTCGCCCTTCAGATATTTGCAAATACCATCCTTAAGGATGAGCAAGCAAGAAGAGGTTTATGTTAACATACCGTAGGTAGCGTAGCGAAATGTAGTGGCATGATAAAGACATGTCCGGAATGCAAAATGTTTAAGATTTAGTGATGATGTTTCATTTTTGTTAATGGTCTTTTTTATGTTTCTTAATGAACGTATGGCTGACATTAAGCCTCATTAGAATGATGTAGCATAAATCAGCTCCATATCCTAGCAATGTGGTTCTACTACTATGTGATCAAATTTAATGATTTTCAAAAATTATGCAGTTTGCATTGAGGGTGTGACTTTCCGTTCCACTACATTTTGCTAAGCGACCTTAGTCTGATTTAAAATCAACCTCCAAGTTCTATAAATCTGTTATGAAATAAATGAATTCTGCCCTGATCAATCTATCTTTATGATATCTTCCCAAAGATTATTTGAAACGCTTGATATTAATTTTTGTATAATCTATTCAGTGTCAGAATAGCGCTCTTCTGGCTCAAAACAGACAAAATATATTAACATTGAAATAAATTGCTTGTACATACATTCTTTTCCACCATTTTGGGGATACTTAAACATGCATTCACTATGAATATGACGGACAAAGAAAGCGGACAAAATATACAGTTCCTCAGGTAGACAAAGGAACATCCCTTCACTGCTATTATGTACAAATGTGTAGAACAGGTGTCACATGCATATTCACCTGTTCTACACATTTTTAAATAATAGCAGTGAAGGGATGTTCCTTTGTCTATCTGAGGAACTGTATATTTTGTCCGTCATATTCATAGTGAATGGCCATGGGTCTAATCCTTGTCCCAAATTTATATACTTTCATTAAGTGACTAAATTGCTTTCCCATCGGTTCAGCACCCAATAAAACTCTCATTCTACCATCTCTCATAAATAACATTACAGAGCTGAATGCGCTGAAGCAGAGACCTCAGAACACCCTGGTGAAGATTGTCCCTGAGACCGATTCTCGGGTCACGGCCACCAACCCCGGTGCCTTGAAGGCCATGAAGGTACCCAGCTTCACAGACCATCCCCTGGTGAGAGGACCGGCCTACAGGGACATTGCTGTATCTGTGGTGTCCATGGGGTTGGACACCAAGTCTTGCGGGGTGATGGGTAAGAGGACGTTAGCCTAAAACCTGAAATTTTTGCAGCGTGCAACTCTTGCTGTAGTATCAGCAATAATGGCTTTTGTCTCATGAAAATCTTGCAAGGTGCAACAATTTATTGTTGTGAACTTGTGATGAACACCAAGTCTTGTAGTGTGATGGGTAAGAGGACATTGCCCTAAAACCTGAAAGTTTTGCAATGTGCAACTCTTGCTGTAGTATCAGCAATAGCGGCTTTTGTTACATGAAAATCTTGCAAGGTGCAACAATTTATTGTTGTGAACTTGTGATGAACACCAAGTCTTGTAGTGTGATGGGTAAGAGGACATTACCCTAAAACCTGAATTTTTTGCAGCGTGCAACTCTTGCTGTAGTATCAGCAATAGCGGCTTTTGTTTCATGAAAATCTTGCAAGGTGCAACAATTTATTGTTGTGGACTTGTGATGAACACCAAGTCTTGTAGTGTGATGGGTAAGAGGACATTACCCTAAAACCTGAAAGTTTTGCAATGTGCAACTCTTGCTTAAGTATCAGCAATAATGGCTTTTGTCTCATGAAACTTTTGCAAGTTGCAACAATTTATTGTTGTGATTGTGTTAATTCTAAGCATTAAACTTTCACAAATCAAATCCTCTTGTAGACTTCACTAAATTTTCTTGCTCACAAATGTTTCTGTTTGTAGAGTAGGTTGAATTTCTTTGTAAATGGTAGTCATGCCTTAAGAACTGTATGCACTTCTCAAAATGAGTACGGTAGAATTAAATCTGGCACACCTACTGCCAATTCAAATACAGGGAGGGCCTGAACCTAAGGACCATAGTGAAACTCTTTACTCTTCCCAGGCATCAGGGTCAATGGACAATGATACAAATGAGGAGGAGGAGGAAGATGATGCTAATGAAGATGATAATGATGATGTTGAGATGATGGTGATGATAATTTCATCATAAGGATAATGATGAGAACTGAGACAAGTATGGAATTGGAAAGGAGCTCCATGTCTGGGCACCATGTATGCAACGTTCTGCAGAATAGGGGTAAAGCAAAACATGCAACAGTCCTACATTATAAATCTTGACATTAAAGGGACTTGCTAACATTGTTCAGATGGGAGAAAATGGTGCTAAGGTAGCGACTTCAATGCTAGATGTACAAGTAAAGATAATCTGAAAGTATTAGACCATTATTAATGATGAAAATTGGGAAAACTGATCTGATCGATTCCTTAATTCTCCCAATAAATTATACAATTTAATTACCGGTACATGTACATTACATTTTAAGTGAATGTAAATCGTCACAAAGCAATGAGTTGGCTCTTTATACCATTCCAGACATTTAACTCTTAAGCTGCCCCCATGCAATTCACCCAGTGCCACAGTGCTAATCCCTATTGTGCCAGCCACTAATCCCCTGTGAGCCAAGTTTATTGAGGGTAGGTTCAATTAGCGTGTGTACTTATGCACGGAAATGTGTACGTGGCACGCGAGCGAATGAGAGTTTATGTGTGCATGGCAAGCCACCGGAAACCCGATTATGTGAGCGTGGCTCGCCAGCGCATGCACGGAACTGTGTTCTTGGAACGATATGAGTTAAGTGTTGACAGATTTTTAATAGCCTGTCTTATTTTTTATTTTCATGGAAAAATGGTTGGGAAAAGTCAAAAATGGTTGGGAGAATTTCCTGTTCGAGGGTGTCGCATAGTGACGCCTTCAAAGAAAACCATAAATATCTTTTTTGGTTGAGAATTTATTCAGATTTGTTTGCATGTTAGAGGGTCGCATGACAGTAGAAAGAATATAATAAGTAACATTTTATACAAATATTACACATATTTTCATTAACCTTCAACAATGTTACTTTAAGCGCTACTGCCTACATGCAAAATGTTGCCTTCTACCCAATATTTATCTTTCAATTTTTAATATCTGTCTTTTAACTTAGTGTTAGCTGTACGGGATGGCAAGAAGCTTGTGAGTCAATATCAGACGGCAAGACTACCACGACATTACACCATAAGAGGGCGCTTTGGTGTGGCGACGGACACACATGACAGCCAAGGCAAGGTCTGGCAGAAAACAACATATGGTGAGACACTGAAAGACTTTAAACTTAGTATAGGCCCATTTGAACAAATAGCTGTGACCAAGAGCATCTCTCAAGCAATTTTACAAGCCCTTTTGCCTTCAAAGTTTCCCTTTTCTCATTTTCGACTGGTAAATTTGATCTCTTTTATACTGTTAACATGTATGATGGCATGTTATTCTTTTAAATTGTATAATATTGTAATGATCTATTGTTTTTATATGAAGATGGAAATAAATGAACAAACGAATTACCGGTACAAAACATGATCTAGTCTTCATTGCATATTTTAAAAGGTATTGTTTTTCTAGTCACGATTATGTAAGCTTAAGAAGGGAGGAGAGATGTGAGTTTGACTCTTTTGTTGTTTGGTGAACTGTCTGGTGAATTTACATTCTGTTTAAGGTACTATTCAGGCATATATACAGTATCTCAATAAAACTGATCTACAACAGGGAACTGTGTGCAGCTAAAAGCAATTTCCATGCATGTATTTTAAAGGAATCGTTTAACAATGCTAAATCTGAGATGCTAAAAGAAATCTAAAAGTGGTGTAGTTCCTGACTGACCTAAAGGTTTATAATTATCATTACAGCATGAGCTAAATCCAGGATTTTGTTTCAGAATTTGAGACAAAGTTACCGGATTCCTTTAACAGAGGTGTACCTTGCTTATCTCTTGCTTGAAGCTTACTGAGTTTATCTTATTCCCTTTTCATTCGATAGATCATATCACCATGGAGAAGCTAGATCGCATCACTTCAAACATCCACCGCAGCTTCCAACGAGAACTGATCCGCCAATCGGGCGTGGACATCCAAAGCCAGGAGGCCTACGAGCTGGCAGTGAGGGGGCTGTTACATCCGGTAGGACGGACAAACCCTCTCCTGACAGACATCACTTGCACAATGTTTGAGCCTCCAGAGTTTGAATTGGGTAAATCTTTGAAGAGAAGTTATGGTTACATATATATGTTCCAAACAGAATATTGATTTGTTACATTACATTGTAAATTGATTTATATGTTTATAAACAGAATATCGATGTACCTACATCAATGAAGTTTAATAAATACAATACATGTATGAGCATTGTTCTTGATGGTTCCTCACAATCAGGGTGATCATTTACCAAGTGTGTAGGACTTGTGAAAGAGAAGTACCAAGCGCATTTTATACCGATTTTTATAGTTATTTGTTATGTAACAAAATCTTATTAATATTCTTTTGCTCTTTTCATAGTTTTATTGTTTGACTGAGGTTTAGTCATACAACTCTTGAAATCAAGTAATGTTCTATTAAAAAAAATAAAAAATAAAAAATAAAAAATAAAAAAAATTAGCCAAAGATAAAGTGATATTGGATTTCAGGGCAGTGATTTGGGAGAATGTGGGATATGTCCCCCCTTGATCACTATCTTGGCTAAACTGCTTTGAATTTCGGTTTCCATCAGGTGTGACAAGAAATGGCTGCCTTTTGATAAAATGCTTTATCTTCACCACATGCTATTTTTCAAAAGATGAAAGCATTCATGATTTAATATACTTCTTTTGCTCATTTTTTTCTTCCTTCAGAGCTCACCAGCTACGCAGACACAGCTCAATACCTCAGGAAGGTCATCCATGATATCGGCCAAGAACTCAAATCCTCCGCCATCGCTACGCAAGTGAGACGGACACACGACGGACCGTTCAACATCGAGCATGCCCTGCTCAAGAAACACTGGAAGCTGAATGACATTGCTGCAGCCATCGAGGAGTGTCGGCCGCTGGTTAGACCGTCAGAGCTGGTTCCTCTCAGTCAGAGCAGGGAGGCTGTCAGGGTGATGGAGGAGGTGGATCAGAGGTGGAACCAGGTTCACCAGGATTGACACGAAGATATTGAAAACCACAAGACTATGGCGTTAAAGACATCGTTTAACAATGTGAAATCGGAGATGCATGGCCCTACGTGTTATCAGTGCCTGTGATATGGTGTAATAGTGAAGCCCTAAAAAAAATTGCGCTTCAAAATGATCATGAAGTTCCTCAAAAAAGTAAAAAAAAAACTTTGAGTGACCGGTTTTACCATACTCGTTTTCCCCAATAGACTGTAGTGTTATGAAAACCGTTAGGAAAACGCAAAATTTGGTTTCGATTTCCAATCATAACTATCTTGATAATCAGACAGGCGATCGGCTTGTAAAAGTCATGGGGTTCCTGACTGACCTAATGGTTTATAATTATCATTGCAGCTGGAGCTATATACAGGATTTTGTTTCAGAATCTGAGACAAAGTTACTGGATCCCTTTAATGCCACCATAGTAGGGAAAGGAGTTTGTGGACACTTAGAGGTGAGCAGCCAGAGGACTTATGGCTTGAGGGGCTGGTAGGTTTAAAACACCTCCAGTTTAAACACCTTTACAGCGTCTTTTGGAGGAATACTACCAAGTACCAAGATTATCAAGAGTTGCAATCACCAGATCCAAACAGGACTGAACAGACTGTATCATTGAAGGTCCAAGTAAAGCCAATACATTGTTGGAGATCAACCAGGGGACCTACAGCTTAGTTCATATTAAAGTCAACTAGGGGACCAAAAGACTAGCATTCACCTGATCGAAACAGGATTGACCAGGCAGTATAACTGGGCTTTGCTGTAGAAGTGACACTGTCTTCGAGATCAGCTATGAAAACGAATGGCTTTCAGTGCCATTTAAGATGCTAGGTAGATGAGGATAATTTCATTACCACAAGTCAAGCATGCATCTTGTAAAAATAAATTTGGTGTTTATTTTAACCTGGGTTTCCAAGAGGCACTGAATGTCTGGATATAAATATAGCTATCATGGCAGCGTTTCATGAAAACTGTCGTCAGTACAAGTTCACCGACATCCCATTGAAACGCGTGTTAAACTTAATTCACGCATTTCAACGGGATGTCGGTGAACTTGTACTTATGACGAATTTGTGAGATGCTGCCTGGACTCCTATGAATTTAAGTCCTATCCAAGAGACCAGATAGTGGAAGATGAATGCATTACTCCAAAACTCTACCAGTCACTAAGAGTGATTAAGTATGATTAAGACTACTAGGGTGTGTTGTTCCATTTTAACCTTCAATGTGAATAAAGCATATACCGCTTGTAGACTAGGATTCATGGGTACCTACACATAACATGTGGAAATTTGAATAACCCAGCAATTTACGATCGATGAAATCACCAAGTACCCCAACGCTTATCTAGATTGATCTGAAATGTTTGAAAAAGTACAATGATTTGGTCATTTTTATCTATATTTTGATCAGGTATCTTTCTTCTCTTTCCCTTTCTATCTCTCTCTCTCTCTCTATTTTTTCTTTCCATCTCTTTCTTCCCCTCTCTCTTTCTCGTTCTCACAGACACACACTCACTGTCCCTTTCTATTCCTTTCTTTCTGAACATCTTTCTTTTTATCATCCTTTCCCATTTCTATTTTATAGTTCACTTTCTGCTCTGTCACTTACTCCATCATACCTCCTCCCTCTTTCAAGCAAACAATATGCAACTGAGATGAACATTGTTTTATATAACCAAAATAAATCTTACATATTTATGCAATTCATATTTTTTGTGAAATATTCATTTTATTGCAGTTCCCAATGTTCATAACTATCAATAAATATATCAATTTGAATTAAAATGCAGTACTTGATATTTACTACAAAATGCAGCCTAATTACAAGAAAATTACAGCAAAGGTGACAATGTACATACATGAGTGGCTTTGGTGAAATGTACTTGCATTCTTTCATGAAAAAATTACAGTGTAATAGTAAAACAAAATGATTAGATATGTAAAATTTTCACTGGCATACCATAAATGAGATGAAATGATGGGTGCAAATGATGACAACCATTAAAAAAACAATCAAAGAATATTAGGACACTCTTAATCTTTAGCTGATGACTTTACGAAAGAAATAAATGAGATTTATGAATTACAGAAGACAAACACACACACACACACACGCACACACACAAACTGTTTTTAATGAGCTACATATACACATATTTACACATAATCGGGATATGTTTGTGATTATATAAAACATTAACAAATATATGCAAAAAAAAGTGATGAGACTTTAAATACAGAACATAGCATAATATAAAACAGGCACAAGAGAATGAGCATATACAGTTAAATGTTAGATAAACTTCTCCATAGAGTGATAGAGAGTAATAATTGAAGTGAGATAATAAGCACACACAATGAAATGTGTGTTGAAACTGTCTGAGCAGTCAACAAATTTGGATCAAATTCCTTGGGATGGTGTGTTACTAATGAGAACAGGTGGTCATAAATTATAATAATCCTGAAGACCTGATCATTAATCAATGTTCACATAGCACTTAATATAAAGTACATGTATACAGAAACAAACTGATAACAAAAACGCAGAACTAGCACATAAAAACAGGTACTGCATAAAATACAATCTTTTAAAAACAGAAACGGACAGTTAAAATTCATTTGAAAATTTGAGTACATACAGTAATGTGCAGCTTCGGGTGCACGTATTTGTACTATGTATATAAAATGTTTATGAATATGCAGAATTTCATTCCGACATCTTTACAAATATAAGATCATATATGAAGACTGGAAATCACATTTATGTTTTGTAACAATTTGTTTGTTGCACTAATTGTGAAATATAGAACAGAGTAAAATGTGCACACACTATTCAACGATGAAAGATTAGATTGCAATTCAAAATATATCAATTTACCAATATTCATATTTCATGATAATGATGACAGTAGGCTCTTTGGTTCACAGACATGACCTGATTCATAGCACATTGAAGTGGTATGATTATAACCATCGTAAAAAAGGCCCACTTGAAAAATGTAAAACTTTATTAAAAATTTGGACACATCTGACTTGTGGTACATTATCACATAGTCAATTTGTTTGTGACACGTGATTGCTGCTTTTTCATTGGATACCACTAATTTCTAATCAATGTATTCCTGGTACATAAAGACAATAACTGCGTGGCAATAAAGGTTGGTTTTAAAGTCTGGCATTTTTGAAAGACTGCGGTCACCTCTTCATTGAACTACACTCTTGGCTTGCTGAAGTCTTTGACACACGACCTTGGTACACGTCCTTTGCGACCTTTGACCTCTACCTCCAACCAGTCACCAACTGCACAAATTAACGGCAACAAAAAAAAAAGGAAGGAGGGGGGAACAAACAAAAACAAAACGGAAAGATTAGTAACTTGTCATCATATTGTGAATTGTAGTGTGTTGAACTTGATTATATTTCTTTCTTTTTTTCATTTTCAATGGGCAATATTTCAAGATTCCATTTTGTGACTCCCTAAAAGCATTTAAAATTGTGTGACAATAACTGCTAGGTCATGAGTGATACACAAGGATCCTGTTGTCTTTAGAATTACTGATAAATGCAAAGTTACTTGTGTTTGTCCTTATTCAAAACTACGTTCATTACATTTCAAAGTAGTATTTGAGGTGGTGCCCCAACACTTACTTTAAGGAGTATTTAACACCATTCTTCTAAAGAATGTGCCATATTTCAGTTTGTTACGAGTTGACATTTTTTATTTTTCATTAACTAAGTTTGAAATGTATTTGTTTACATGCAGTATCTGCAGGCGCACTGGAAGCAGTATGGGATGGGGGGGGGGCAAACATTCCAGGGGGCTCACCTTCTAGGGGCAGTGACGTAATGAGCAAAAAACATTTGGAAGGGGGGGGGCAGAAGAAAAATCTGCATCACCACCACATTTACACGTTACATGCAGGCCCCACCGAAAGTTTTTCAAAGTGGCGTGTTAACGATCAGGTAGAGCGTAAATTGGCGTGGGGTCCAGGGCCTGAGCCCTGAGTATCTGAATGTGGCCCTATGACAGAACTTAATTGTGGGATGAAAAAAGATTAAAGTTAAACATACCTTCTCCCGTGATAGTGATCAGATCACCTTCCGATACAGACACTTCTCCCTCTACATCATTCTCATGAGAGGCTATAACAAGGGCTGTCTTCCGCTGGCCTGGCTTGCTAGGGCCTCCACCTTTAGCCACACGTTGCTTCAGCTCTGGCTTGAAAGCTAGGATAGGTGGCTGTTTTCCAGCCGCTGCAGGCTTGTCTGCTGTTGCAGGCTTGGACCTCTCCACTGGAGTTGGTTTTGCCTGCAAAAGTCATTAAATTCCATAATTTCAAATAAAATCAAACAACAATCTTTAATTTGTCTTTTTCTTTGACTCTGGATTAAAGAAAGAGAGAAAATATCATACTTAATTAATATAACAAAGAAAATAAAAAGATGTCAACAACACCTTATTCATTCCTTTTCACAATATCGGATAATTCACGTAGTACATGAAGATAAGGCTCGTTTTCCAACATTAGTGATTTTTTTAGCAAACTTTGACAATTTTTAATACAGGGAAAGCTCTGCACTGCATGATTCAGAGTGACTTTTACCAAGTTCCTTTTGAAATCCAGTCATATTGCCTAAAAACTTACGATGATCAATCCATTTGATTCTTTTCAAATAAATTTGCATAAACTGATTTTTATAGATTGATTTTTCCATTCAAGACATTTGGCTTTAATTGTTACCTCTTTCTGCACTGTGACTGTGACTGCAGCAGCTCTCCTCACTACAGGTGGGCTATCCGATACAATCTTGACCAACTTGGCTTTGTTACCAGCAAGCTTTCCACCATTGGAAGCTACATGGTTGTTGTTGATATTCTTGCGAGGAGGATTGGGAGAGGGAGCCTTCTTTGGGGGCGGTGGAGGAGGCAGGTCCGGTAGTCCAGGGCTAGATGACCTCCTCCCTGGGTTTAAGAGGTTTATAGCGTGTGAAGAGCTTGGCGGTGGAGGAATGGGTCTATCTTGAAGGAGGTTGCCACCGCTAGGCTTGGGCCTGGGTGGGAGCTCCGGTTCTGTATTGGACCCAGGGGGAGGGGGTACTGGTCTTGTAGAGAGACTGTCCAAGGAGAGTTGCTTGATGGGTGGACTGGGCACTGGTCTTGGAGGAAGTTCTGGCATTGATTGGGTTGGTTTTGGAGGAGGTGGTCTCGAGGGCAAGTCATCCTGAGGGCCTTCTGTTGGTAATGCAGGTACCTGTCTGTTTGACATATCAAAAAAAGGGTTCTTCGTTACTGGAATCCCAGGTAACTTGCGACCTGCATTTGGGGAAAGCGGGACCGTTCTGCTGCTTAAGTCACTGATTCTACTTGCAATTGGTGCAGGCCTTGAGGGTAAGTCTGGTTCATCTGTACCAGGGGGTGGGGGCACTGGTCTGCTTGGAAGTTCTGGGGAAGCATTGCCAGGTCTAGCTGGAACAGGTCTGTCAGCAAGGAATAGCGGTCTACTTGGGACATCAGAATCACTAGGTGCTAGTATCAACGGCCTCTGAGGTAGATCTGGACTAGCAGACTTCCTGGGAGGTCCAGGTAGTGGTCTATCTGGAGGGGGTGGACTGCTGCGTTTTGGGGATGGCAGTGGCCTACTTAGTGGAGCATCGCTGCTCTTTGTTGGAACAGGCCTCTGAGGAAGCGGCCTATCAGGTACAGGGCTGGAACGACTTGGTGACGGCAATTGACGACTTGGTGGTAACTCAGGACTATTTTTTTTCCCACGACGATCAGGAACAGGACTTAATCTAGTTGGAGAAGGCAACGGACGACTCGGTGGTAAATCCGAACTGTTGTTCTTCCCAGGACTTGCAGGAAGCGGTCTGTTAGGGACCGGACTTAAACGAGATGGTGACGGCAATGGACGACTTGGCGCTAGCTCTGAACTCATCTTCCTGCCAGGGGTCACAGGAAGTGGTCTTTGAGGGACAGGACTACTTAGTGCCTCTCTACTTGGTGCTGGTGCCTCTGGTAGCACCTTATCAAAGTTGAACCCTCCCGACTGAGAAGGCGGAGGTCGGCTAGGTGGTTTAGAATTCTGCAAGGACTCCACTGTCACTACAGGCATCATCCATGGAGCTTGAGTGTCTGGTAGACTAGGTCTTGGCTGTCTGGAAGGAACTGGTCTGTCTGGAAGGCCTGGACTGGACAAACTCTGTGACTTTGGCACTGGCAGGGCTTTAGAGGGTGCCGAAGATGGTGTTGGTGTTTTACTTCTTGGACTCAATACCGGCACGCCAAGAGAGCTGGATGTTTTCAACGGGGGAGGAGTAGAGGAGCGCTGCCACAAAAACAAAGCATATAGAAAATATAGTTTACTTACTATGCTGCAATCGCAATATCTTTTACCAACCTCTATTATTTCTAAAGTAGATGCAGAACCTCCGTTTACATACTATTATTGGAGAGAACACATTTCACAAAATACCCAAAATTCTAATTCTCATTAAAACGATGCTTATTTCATGGCAAGATATCAAACTGCTCATGACAATAAAATGACATTTATACAAAATACTGAATTTTCAATCAAATTTCTTTTTAAATCTTACATATATTAAACTATTAAACTATTTTCACTATCATGTAAACATTTCAAAGAGGACCATAATAATAATTTCACTCGGGCTTATTATTCAGTATATAATAAAACTATGTAAAAGGGGCCATGATAATCCATTATACCGGGTAGTAGAAATCACTCACCTTTCTCACAGTTGGCAGCTTGGCAACAATCTTAGCTTTGCCAAGGTAGTCCTTTCTATCCAGGTTATCAATCTTGGATTTTGGGGGTTTGAATAGCAACGGCTTCGGAAGCTCATAGAGTTTGAAGGAGCGCCCGCTCTGCATTAGATAAAAAAAATACAAAATGTTTGTTCGATGTTTTTGATTAGTTAAAGCCAGCCTTACTTTATTCTACATACTCTTTTGTCATGTGTAAAATTTGTAATAATTTGTCAAATCTTGTTTGTTTGTTTGTTATATATTTGTAAAACTGCAAAAAAGAAAAAGAAAATCAAACAGAAATAAATCAAATCAAATAAAAAATCAAATCAATTAATTAAATAGTGCAGATCACCGAGCACATATACATGTATCAGGCTATTGTTACAACTGCTGTGTGTTTTCCGCTCCCCAATTTTGCTCTTTGCCATTCATGAACACAAAAGCTCTGCCCACGGAAAAGTTTTTGAAGCAGTTTACCATGTCATGCCTGAATGGGGTTGGAGGGGTTAAAGAGAAGGTTGAGTTCTGGGAAGAGGTGAAAAATAATAATTTGTGAGCGTTACTATTCTTATTATGCAAGTGTGGAAGAACATCAGATAAGACATGTTCCCTGAAAAGCATGGCTCTTCAAATGCCTTCATATTCTAAATATGTCATGTAACATCGTAAAATTCCAGGGTAGGATTTTTACGCCACGTGTTCGTGTAGTCCCATATACATCTTTCTGTGTACAGTGTTTGTAACTTTACCAAGACTTGGCCAAATTTCTTATCATTTTGATGATTCCAGAACCTTGCAATACACACAAATTCTTATATGCTAGATGATCAACCTTTTCTGGTCGATTCCACACCGTTTCTTTCACAATGCAATCGCATGACCAGAACTCAACTTCATCTTTAATGATGTATCACAAGGATAGAAGTTGTAGGTAGTGCTTACAGTGAATGCCCTGTAGGAGTCTTCTATCTTATCGTGTCTCGGATCTGCCTTGCACTCTCTGGCCTCCTCCAGTTGGTTCCTGGCCCAGTCTCGTTGGTCTAACTCATTGTAGGCCCAGGCCTGGTTATGGAGAACCTGCAGAGGAAATTATAATGATAAAACATGATACAAAGTGACTTAACCCAGTAACTACTGAGTTATCAAAGTCCCATAGGCTTAACACAGGGACCTCCCGGTTCCAGTAAGCAATGGGTTAAACGATATTGATAAAATATTTTACTTTCTCTCATCATCCTGACATGTCTTCATACCAATAAGAAACAGTATAAAGAGGATGCCATTCTTGTGAAGGGATTGCCATCTTTTAGCAGTTAATCTGATGAATAATCATATTACCCCCCCCCCCCCCCCCCCCCCCCCAAAAAAAAAATGTTAATGTTGGTGTATGACTGGACAAGCAGTCTTGAGTTCTGCAAATAGAACGCCAGTCAGATTGAATTACTTTTGAGTAATATTTAAAAATTAAAAATATTGAACATTTCTGCAAGAGGATGATCATATAGAATCATCAGTTTAAATTAGAGTCTGTGTTACATAATTTGACTGACAAGAAGCGGTACCCACCAAATAATATAAAACTAGATGGAATTTTGACTGCGCGCAGTCGAAAATGATGCCTCCGCCATAGAGCAATTTAAACAAGTTTGGAGTTTAAATCTCCAGTGGTTCTTGAGATATCATGATAACAATCTCAACGTATGGAATTTCATAAGTTGACCTCTGTGACCCTTGACCTTTGACCTACGTGCTCCAAAATCTAATCAGATTGTCTTCCTATGGTGATACACACTATCATTAAGTTTGAAGTTTAAATCTCCAGTGGTTCTTGAGATATTATGATATGGTGATACATACTATCATTAAGTTTGAAGTGAAAATTCTCCAGTGGTTCTTGAGATATCGCGATAACGATCTCAATGTATGGAATTTCATAAGTTGACCTCTGTGACCCTTGACCTTTGACCTACATGCTCCAAAATCTAATCAGATTGTCTTCCTATGGTGATACACACTATCATTAAGTTTGAAGTTTAAATCTCCAGTGGTTCTTGAGATATTATGATAACAATCTCAATGTATGGAATTTCATAAGTTGACCTCTGTGACCCTTGACCTTTGACCTACGTGCTCCAAAATCTAATAAGATCGTCTTCCTATGGTGATACATACTATCCTGAAGTTTGAAGTTTAAATCTCAAATGGTTCTTGAGATATCGCGATAACGATCTCAATGTATGGAATTTCATAAGTTGACCTCTGTGACCCTTGACCTTTGACCTACATGCTCCAAAATGTAATCAGATTGTTTTCCTACAGTGATACACACTATCACTAAGTTTGAAGTTTAAATCTCCAGTGGTTCTTGAGATATCATGATAACAATCTCAATGTATGGAATTTCATAAGTTGACCTCTGTGACCCTTGACCTTTGACATACGTACTCCAAAATCTAATCAGATCGTCTTCCTATGGTGATACATACTATCCTGAAGTTTGAAGTTTAAATCTCAAATGGTTCTTGAGATATCGCGCTAACAAACTCAATACAAGGAATTTCATAAGTTGACCTCTGTGACCTGTGACCTTTGACCTACGTACTCCAAAATTTAATCAGATCGTCTTCCTATGGTGATAAATACTATTCCCGAGTCTTAAGTTTAAATCTTAAATGGTTCTTGAGATATTGTGATAACGGTCAAACGGGACGGACGTACGGACGGACAACCCGAAAACATGATGCCTCCGGCACCACCTTCGGTGGCGGAGGCATAAAAACATATCCGAAATACAGTCAAAACTGTCTACAGCGACCGCCCAAGGGAAACACAGAAAGTGGTCTTTGTAGAAAGGTTCCTCCAGTACATGTTTCAATGAGAAACCATTTTCAAGGGAAACAAAAATTGTGGTCTTTGTAGACAGGGGGTCACTTAAACAGGTTTGACTGTATATCAGTTGCCGATGAGCATAATTGCTAGAGTACGGTCCCGGCCCCCCCACTCAATGTTATTTAGGGTAGGCATATGCGTGTTCCCTCCTTTTGAAAACACCCCTTAAGTCCGGTGTGTAACGTCAATTTTGTGTATGTACGAGTCGGACTTTGGTGCGTGAAAAGTACCCCTTCAACGGACATTTTGGTAACACGCATGCGGTAATTCTGCCCCCGGAGTGGGGGGGGGGGGGGTGCGGGAGTACGGTATTGCCATGACAATTAACCTACCTCACACTTGTGGAGTTTATACTGCAAGCCCAGCGGCTTGTAGTTAATCATCTTGCCCCGGAGAGTCTCTCGTGCCTTCTCAAAGGCGTGCCATGCATCATCGCCCCTCCCGAGGAGACCCAGGACCACGCCCGACTGGAAGTGACCAATGGCCAGATGGGGATCTCTCGATACAACCTCCTTTAAAATCTGTGAGTTCGGTCGGGGAGATAATGGAGAGTGAAGTTGAAAGATAATAATAATAATATTCTGCTTTTATATAGCACCCAATACATGGATACAACGATGTGCCTAAGCGCTTTACAGATATATTATTACCCCGGTCATCGGATCCAGGCTTACTCGCACACAATGTATGCACATTTTCCACTCCCTGGGGAGCATATTAATAAAGACTACCGGTACATAATAATTTCATTGATGTAAATTATGTAAATTTGATCCTTACTCTATAATGAAAGGACAGTGAGTCAGATATTGACTTTTTTAGAACTTTTCATTATAATGGTTATTGACTGAGTAAACAACTAAACTAAAAACTTCAAAAAAAAACAAAAAACTATTGAACTGGGATGTGACCAGTCAGCATTAATGCTTTTTCATTAACTTTGATACAATACTAATCCCTGCCATCTAGTCGCCGTGTACTTAAAAAAAGAAAAAAGACTTTATCATCATACTTGATACAGTTGCTTAATTTGACCCCAATAGAGGTGAAGTTACTATACATGTAAAATAAGCCCAAGAAAATCATCTAAATTATGTTGTACATGTATACTACTGCCTGGTCTTGTAATAAATTACCATTAATGCAAATGGATCACAAGTCCTTAAGTCAAATGCAACATTACCATAACCTATCTCATGTAGTCTATATTGTAACTGATATGAAACTAACCCCAAGTTGCAATAAGCCATTTCGTAAATACTATCTGCGCATGGGCAGATGAAGGTCATTTGCGATAAAATTGTAAAACCCACTGAGATGAATGCGTGCTCATGTTATGTAATCATTATTCATGTGTGCACCTATGGTACATTCTATGATACAAGAGGGCAAACAAAAGCTTTTCGTAAAGCACATAAGTACATGACTTTGGCATTATTCTAAAATACCGGTACACAAAGTGGGACTTCTCCATGAGTAAAACATCTGTGGATATTTGGGGTCATTTGACCCATGTGCTAACTACAAAATAGTCTATTGATTCAGGTTAATCGCAACTCTTTAAAAAATCATCCTTACTGAATTAGCATCCTCCAGTTGTCCCAGAGACTTCTGCAAGATACCGATGTTGTAGAGAATCTTGGCGGACGGATCGACGATGCTGTTCAGCTGATTCAAAGCCTCGCTTGATTCCCCCCTCTCGAAGGCCAACACGCCCTCGTACCACGTTGCTATGGTATCCTTGTGTGTCATCTTGGTGACCGTAGAGGGCGTAGGTGAGGAGCCGCCGTTGAAGGTCGGAGACAGGTCATCATCGTCCGAGAAGTCATCGTAAATGGGACGGAAGGAGTTTGGGGAGGGTTGGAAATTCTGTATGAAAAAAACAAAATGCAAGGAGATGAATAGTTTATCAGGGGGTTGTTTCATAAACACGACTTATACATGTATATGAAAAGCCAAATGGAATGCTCAATCATTTTTTAACCGCATCAACTAAAGTTGAACTGTGCAGATGTAGATTAACATTAATATTATAACAAACATTTTTAATACAAAGTATGTTTTTTGCCATAATTTAATTGAGGTTATTGGAAATTTAGTCACTCTTTGTGAAAACATCAGGACAAACTTTCGGGGCATCCTATCTGGCACTTCATATTGAAGCCGTTCGTAAAGTCATATATAACTTTACAAACACTTTATGAAACACCCCCAAGATTTGATAAAGATGAAGCCGCACATTACTTTTTTAGGAAAGGAGTCCTATTTTTATCAAAATATAATTGTTTTACACATACATGTACTTTTAGATAATTATTTCCTGAAATGCCACTCTTTCTACCCTTGATGCCTATAACAATACTCTTCTCAAAATCAAGTATTGCTATTAAAAACTGCATATCCTCCCCCTTACAGACCACTTAAACTCCAATATAGAATGTTGTGAAGATTTTGATCAAATATAAATATTTTACATGTATATTTAGATCAATATTTCCTGAAATGTTACATTCATCCTAACTTTATGTAATGCCTACGGGTGTATTAGTATTACAATAGTGTCATCTATAATCAATTATTGCTAAGACTGCATATCCTTCAACTTTGTTACAGTCCACTTTAAATCACTCTTGTTTTTGATCTCATAAAGCCTTAAACCTCCAATATGAAACAAAAATGGAATTTCAACAAACGTTGTCACTTTGAAAATGCATGTAAAATTGTGGATGGAAAAATTACTGAACTTCTTATTACCGGTACTCTGCACATGTACATACAGTGTACATGTACAGGTGTACATCTTATTTACAGTTTTAACAAGTCATAAAACTCCTGCACATTCTATCTCAAGGTTAGAATCCAATGGGTCATGTCACTTGAGCATACAAGTACAAGGTCTAATGGATCAAATCTGATGTTTAATCTACATTATGTAAATATGAAGAAATAAAAATATTAGATTTGCTACAAGGGAGTTTCTGCCCTACATAGAACTGTGGTAAATGAGGTCATAGTGGTTTGGATGACAATGACTTCAGGCATACGTGTAGGCTCATCTACACTAAAGATTACACAATTAATGCAGCATACTTTCTGTTTTCAATAACATCACAATTTTACAGACATTGGTACTACCATAAAACTACCATTGCAATTATGACGGTGCACTTCAAATATATAGAGCCATGGTAGTACTGTCTGTATTTATCATGGTAGTACCATTGTACATATAATAAATGTTTTATATGCTCTAAAGGAAAATGTTGATTTTTTTTGATTTTTTTTTTTGGGGGGGGGACTTAGATTTTTTGGCCCATGTGTCCTGGGCACCCCTGGCCACATCCATGGGTTCAATCGATTTTATGCACCCCCCAAAAAATTCACATTTATCAATATTTTCATAAGGGCTTTTTTATAATTCATGGTACATGTAGATATTTTTTAAGAATTAAGGGCTCTTTTACCATCCAAGACAGCTTTCTTTTATTTCTTTAAGTCATTACATTTTGAAGGGGAGGCTATGAGAGCAAATTGCCCTAATGAGCCCCCCCCCCCCTTACCCTGATTCCAAGAGGGAGAGGCATAATTATAATTCAATTAAAAAGCAATTTCTATTTCTAGCCTCCAAAGGGGAAAGTTCTTTTTCAGACGGGTGTAGCAAGCATATCAGAAAATATCAAGGTTCACATTCATGTAAATGTCATTTTTATTTACTCTACGGTATATAAATCACAGACATACCCAAGCCAAACAGGCTTTACACATCATGTACACCTATAATTTATTAAACATATTCAGACAGTCAATAATGCAGTCTCACTACCAAACAGACCCAAAACCACTCCAGAGAGACTTGAGCTGGCTCTGAAGTAGCGACATAATCTTGGCCTGCATACATATTAATGTAATAATTTTGGTTAGTCTATTGACTTGTTGGTCTAGTGTCGGTATCTTTAGTGTGGCAATGAGTAAACCTGTTGATAAACTTATGAAAGCTCATACAAAATTAGGATTTCTGATTTTCTGAAAGTAAATTATGACTTATCCCTTAGCTAACAAACCCACAATATGCATGCAACCCTGTTTTAAATAGTCACATATTTTCAATAATAAAGGATAGCACTTTGAAAGGTTTTTTTTCCCAAACAAAAGTAAAACAAATACATTCTTTACATAAACAAACCCATTAAAGCAATATTCTTTTTCATATAAAAAGTCCCTTTTTTAAATATTAATCCTCAAGGACTTCCAAAGACAACAAGCAGTTTCATTTTGTTCCTGAAAACAATGATTACATAAACAAACCTGGAGAAATCACTTTCTGTTTCATGTGAATTTCCTTTTCCTTTCATTGTAAAGAATATAAGACTACAGTGAAAATATACATAGTAGTTTCAAGTACCGTAATCTGAAATTGAAAGGTTAAATGTGCAGTTTCCTTCAGTTTAAAAATACCCATGAAAATATATATTTAACACAAAATAATAAAGTATGACTTCTTCTTTGCATAAACAAGCCCATAACGGCCAAATGAGCAGTTTTTTTTTAAATTCCTCTTGCAACAAAAATATTATTGACTCAATGATATGCACTTGTTTGGTTACTCATGACTTACTTTAAAGTGAGTACTTGTCTACATATTAAATTTCAAATTTAATAGTAATTATGATGGGGAAATTTTATTACCGGTACCAAAGGGAACTTAAATATAGCTAATATAGTAATTCTATGCATCTAAATTCCAGTAAATATACATCTTTAAGTGACTATTTTCTCTACTTTCAAATTCAATCGGAAGTCATAAGCAAACATGCAGACGAATTTAGACGCAAAAGAAACAAAGGCAGTATTGACCAAGGTACTGTAGAGAGAGTTAAGAGCGAAAGTGACTTTCTATTAGCTTTTAAATTTGCCTAGTCACAATAGTCGTCTATTCTATGAATAAGAACTGTATATACATTGTAGCTACCTACATGTACGTGTACCAACCTTTCACATTAAAATTTAGGAATCTCTCAATGCAAAATTAGGAATCTCTCAAGGCAAAATTAGGAATCTCTCAAGGCAAAATTAGGAATCTCTCAAGGCAAAATTAGGAATCTCTCAAGGCAAAATTAGGAATCTCTCAAGGCAAAATTAGGAATCTCTCAAGGCAAAATTAGGAATCTCTCAAGGCAAAATTAGGAATCTCTCAAGGCAAAATTAGGAATCTCTCAAGGCAAAGTTAGGAATCTCTCAAGGCAAAATTAGGAATCTCTCAAGGCAAAATTAGGAATCTCTCAAGGCAAAATTAGGAATCTCTCAAGGCAAAATTAGGAATCTCTCAAGGCAAAATTAGGAATCTCTCAAGGCAAAATTAGGAATCTCTCAAGGCAAAGTTAGGAATCTCTCAAGGCAAAATTAGGAATCTCTCAAGGCAAAATTAGGAATCTCTCAAGGCAAAATTAGGAATCTCTCAAGGCAAAATTAGGAATCTCTCAAGGCAAAATTAGGAATCTCTCAAGGCAAAATTAGGAATCTCTCAATGCAAAATTAGGAATCTCTCAATGCAAAATTAGGAATCTCTCAAGGCAAAATTAGGAATCTCTCAATGCAAAATTAGGAATCTCTCAATGCAAAATTAGGAATCTCTCAGGGCAAAATTAGGAATCTCTCAAGGCAAAATTAGGAATCTCTCAATGCAAAATTAGGAATCTCTCAGGGCAAAATTAGGAATCTCTCAATGCAAAATTAGGAATCTCTCAAGGCAAAATTAGAAATACAGTATATTATGTACATGTATGTATATACCTCTTAATTACCACAGATGTTTTAAGAAATAGAGAGGAATCTATTCTAGGGTTCTGCACATCAGTTTGTAGGCCTAAAAATAGGAATAATTCCTCCAAGATAAGAACTGTTGGCAGCTATGCCACATGTTTACCACAATGCAGACAGTTAAATGCAAATTAGCCCCGGCAAGTCTAAATACTACTTCATTCAAAAGATATTTGCTTGAGCCACAGCAAGATGCTTTGAATGGGGAGTTATATAACTTCCAAGGGAGAGAGGGCTCAATAGACATAGCTGATTACTGGTATTGAGGCAGCGAATCAATGCTAGCCCAGTGATACTGATTGTAGAAAAGGAGGACCTACAGTATTGTCAATAAGTACAACAGACTCAATGAAAATATTTGGTAGACCTTAATTCTAAAGGTCTTCCAAGCATGTGAGCTGGCATGGTTAAAGTGTGGTATAGTGCTGTATCCACAAACATCAACTTGTCTTGTACAGGAAAGCCTTATAAGTTACTGTGTGTGTACAGTAATACATACATGTAAATGACATGCATGGAACCCATTTAATCACCAAATTCAAAAATCACACTTTTTCACATGAAGTTCCATCACTGATTAATAGAGGAAATTTAAAAATAATTATTAAAAAAAACATACACTGCCTGTATCTGGGAAAAAAGACATATAATGATCAAAGTGATAACTCACTCAGTCAGATGCACTTTTATATACATAGCAAAGTTAATGTCCACTATGCTTGAACACGGCAGGAAATGGCTTGCGTGTAGATTAGCAGCTAATAGGCTAATAAAGGATCCTTGGAATAGGTGAACTGAAGGACAGTGCCAATATAGAAAGTAATTCACAGTTCTACAAAGCAGACAACCCAACTGTGTAACGACCATGACATTCAGATATTTCCCATAATAAATATGTGTTATCTCCAGTAAAACTGATTAAATAACAAGTTTTAGCCCCCCCACTAAAAGTAAAGAATCTGAGAAATTAAGATTTTTAACTTTAAACTACAAAGTTTCTGTTATGTACTGTAAATGTTTTTTTTTAAATACCAAGTACTGGTATGCAATATGATATGATACAAACGATAAGGAAGGAATTTTCCATAAAATACAAATTAACATAAAATGAATCGTAATCGTAATTTTAAAAAAGTAACATTTCTGATCTGTGAATTAGACAATCTCAATCTCTGGCAGATTTGCATGCATGTAGAAGTATCCAAAGGGCCTACATTGTACTTACTGTTTCATTGTTATTGTTGCTAGATTCAGGAAGTTCACTGACCACCTTCGGTTTGCCAAGATAATCCACGTTCTTCAAACCGACAACTTTGCTCTTGGGCGGGCGGAACAACTGGTTGCTAGGCAACACCACAGGCTCGTACAGCTGATTGGTCTGCAAGAAATACAGAGGGAGTGTCAAAAAATTGCGGCTGAAGTCTATGTGAACTAGCTCTAGGGGGAAATTGAAACCATTTTAATAAGATGAGGTACTGTACATCATTCGCTATTTTGGGATTTTACCCATAATTCAAAGAAGATTGCATTATTTCATATTTTATGTCTTTAAGTTATAGTAACCTTCTGAATTAAGCTTAATGATCAGCAAAATAAAGAGAAAGAAAGAGAGAGAGAGAGGGAGGGAGGGAGGGAGGGAGGGAGGGAGGGAGAGGGAGAGAGAGAGAGAGAGAGAGAGAGAGAATGCCAAATGTGTAAGTACATAATTTGGGGAATTCTAAGCAAAAGATTAAATTTCAGTATTTCACCCATAATTCCAAGAATGCTTAAAATTACCTGATCTCATACTTCTGAAACTAATCGGTACATTTTTTCGATTTCTCAATCATGGAAGTTGCTATGGCCAAAATTTAAATTAAATATCCTGTCTGGGAACTTTCGGATATACTGTAGATAAGCACTGATCTGGGTGATTCTACTAGGTCTATCAAGAAAAAACACTCATTATATTGACGATTCAACAGTAATTTCCATTTGTAACTTTGTCAGTCTATTGTGTAACTGCCTTTGTGTTCCTATAGTGTTCCTTGTGATATAAGACTTACCAGTAATCGTTTCTGTGCCTTTTCAATCAATGGGCCATGCCGAGCCTCAACGCTGACTTTCTTCGCTTCATCAAGTAACTCCAAAGCATACTCTGAATTGTTCATCATAGTTGCATAGGTCAGGGCTAAATTATAGAGAACCTGTGAAAACCAAGAGTCGATTCAGAATTCACACAATTCGTACATCTCACATAATTTTTTTCATGAAATATACCAAGTCCATGTTTTTTCTGTCCTGTACCTTTAATACCGACCATACCAACATTTTTTCAGTACCCTATTGAAGCTTGGATAATACCAAATAACAAGGAAAATCACTTTTTTGCTATGTCATTGTTTATTTTCCTTATTCATGGTAACATATTGGACAACAAATAACCAATTATCTTGGACTTTAACTTCTTGAATGTGATCAGAGTTTTTAACAGAAAAAACAATTAATTAGAAATTTGGGGAAAAAAGGTCAAAATAGATGGTTCATGATTATCGAACGAAGCCTTAATAAATTAAAAATAAGAACAACTGAAGATCTCTATGATATACTATCTTGCTAGAAACTACTAACTGAAAGAACAAGTCGCTTGATGAGAACCAGGAGTTCACTAACTGTTACATGCAAACATGATGAGTTAAAGCCCTACTGCCTCTCAACAAATGAAATTGTATCATTTTTCACAGAGTGCATATATACCTCACACTCGTAGAGTTTGTGCACAAAGCCAAGCTGCCTGTAGTCGATGAAACGGTTGCCACGGAGACAGACCTTGGCCTTCTCATAGCTGTTCCTGGACTCGTTGTATCGATGGAGATGAAAGTAGACCATGCCTAGCTGGAAGTGGGCAAGCGCCATGTGGGGGTCCTTTTCTACAGCTGCTGTGAAGTTCTACAAGATAACAATAAAATGATTCAAATTTGAAAATGAAATGACTTCTGTAGAATGGCATGCAAATTTTAAGTTCAGAGGAAAAATCAATAAAACATATAAGATACACCCACCTGTATATATATATATACAGAACATGCGTTGTCATGAATTGCATATCTGGTACATCATGCTTTTCTTGATTTTGAATAAGATAGTTATTAAAATCTTACAAATGGCAACACATATTGGTACACATGCAATCTCAAATGCAACTCCGGATAAATATACTTGCATGACTACATGTATTTCATACAGTTAGTGTTGTGTATCCTGAAAAAAAAAAGTTTTATCTGTAACACAAAGTTATCTCCTCTAGCAAAACCGATAACTAAAGATACAGGTAGCTATAAAGTCTATTCAAATTTCAAAATCAGAATTTTAAGAGTGTTAACGCTTGAATGAAATGCCTTAGACTACATGTCTTTCCACTACACATGAGTGAAATTTAAACTATTTTTTCTTTTCCATTAAAAAAAGGGTTATAATTAAACCTAAATTTAGCCTTCCTCTTGTAAAATATAAGTTTATTGCTGATTATAATAGTATACTGTAAGTTATGAAAGACTCTTGAAATCTCCATTGTTTAAAGCACTTTACGCTATTAATAAAGTTTCTATAAGCACGTGCACATGTGCAATCATCAATAAAACACTTAGAATACATCATCTCCAGAAATAGATTATCTGCGAGTCTGTGACCAACAAAAAGAAACTGTCCATAGCACATTTACCCCAGGAAGTGAATCACAATGCCCTCTGTTCCCCCTTCCAAAAGACCCTAGCCGTTTCCTGTTTTTCACTTCATTAACATTTTCGACCGACACCTCTCGTAACTTTCCAAGAAGTCAGAGAGGCAATTCTTGTGACATCATCAAACTAATTAAAATTGCAAAACCTGAATCTATGATGTCAGCATGAGCAGCTGTTCTGGGGTGCATTACAAAGTCTGCCTACGCACAACGATGTGTTGGCCGACGCCAAATTTTCACAGAACACCCAAATTCTAACAACAGATGCAACATATAAAGTACAAATTCTAAGTATTGGTAAAAGCATGATGAATCTGTTAGGGAGAACAAAAATCAATCTCCCTTTGTGAAAAATCACAATGTCAAGAACAATTTTTAAAAGCAAATGTTCACATTTTCTGCTTGACTGCAGAAACTACATGTAACAGGATGTACATGCATGTTTGTGCTAAAAATCAATAGAAGCAGTGCAAAGAAATATTTTCTTTTAAAATAGAACGGAGTCTATTTTTGACAGACACATGTAATGATGTTTTTTCTAATTTTCCTCTAAGGTGACGTCAAAATATACACTGTTTGCATAAAATACAATTCAAACAAAATCTACCGATATATGAAATGACTACATGTAGACTTTGCAATTGCATTGTGATTTACTTCTTCCAGGGAGACTGTATACTTGGAAGTCAAAGTGTAGGGAAAAGGGGAAATTCCCAAGAAAATGCTAAATAGTTGGTCCGGATTCTTTCCGTTTTTATTTTTTATTCTTCAATCATTTATGTCCTCCTCCTTCACACAATCTCACACAGATTGCGACGCTTTCTCAGATAACTTTCTCAGAACATCAGTAATTCTAACAACAGATAAAATAAGTATTGGTAAATGCATGATAAATATGTTGGGGAAAACATATATTGAAGTTCCAAATCATGATTCTTTTTCTCATTGAATCTATGTAGAGGCAAAAGTTACTGAATTTTGTTGTTGTTAAAGAATGCTAAAATTCATTGAAACTGAAACAAAGATATGTCCAGGGCGGAGTCTAATTTGGACAGACATACATGTACATGTACAGTGTATTTAATTATGTGTTTAATATTTGTTTCTAAGGTACAGTAACCTCAAAAATTTTACACTGTTTACATAAAGATACAATTTACACAAAGTCTAGGAAATGACTAGACTTTCGGAATTTCAACAAAATCACACTGTGATATGCATGTACCGGTACATGTACATTTTAAATGCACATGTACATGTAAACTCAGAAGTCAAAAGGGGAAATTCCCCAGAAAATGCTTGATAGTCTGCTAATGATCAGTACTAATTAGTGACTTCTTGGAAGTAATTTTTACTTCCCATGTCTGTGAACACTCCTTATCTCCCACTCAAGTTTAATAATTGTATTTAATTGCAAAGTTTTTACACTCTTCCCAGATCATATGAAGTTCATATATGACAAAGACCCAGTTATAAATACAAGTTTCCCAACTCTCTCTAGAGTCCCTACAAGCCAATGCACCATGAGGCCTACTACAAATTGTTTGTTACAACTTATTAGTACTGTACTTGTCAAGAAACTATAATTATATTTTTTAATTCAATAAAACATTTAAAAGCAATCTAGCCTTGTAGGTATACTCCATACAATGTATATTCAGATCGATCAATCGATCGAGAAAGAGAGAAAGAGAGAGAGAGAGAGAGAGAGAGAGAGAACAACTAAGTTCCAATATCAATCAAACCTTAATTCTGTAATCAACATTAGCTGTTATAATAAGCATCTGGTATTAGTATCACTGGTCATCATTATCTCATCACCATCAAGTTTCTAAACTATATCCTGCCACAGAATTGCCTATGAAAGTATTACTTACGAACATGTCAATGATGTATAGATCTGTCAATAATTAATTAACCTTGTTTCTATAACAACGCACGTCACAAGATGATACATACATACAAAATGACCATTTCACAGAAACAACAAAAACAAACACCACCTGTTAATTGATAAACTATGGGACCAAGGAAATTAATAATTATACATGATGTGCATGTACATGTACGTCCCCAGTTAAAAGTCCAACAGAAATGAATCTCCCTTCCTCCCCCTCGATAAATGCAGTCTCAATTGACCTGAAAGCCTGGGTCATTGTGCAATTATGAGTAGTGTACAGTACATGTACGTCTGTCTACTTTCATGACATACTTGTACATTTCGACAGACCATCATGTAAGAACTCTAACAGCAAATTAGTTTAATGCAGGATGTATTGAACACATTAATTATCTGGCTGTATGCACTGTAAATGGCAAAGCTTTTTCCTTTTGAAACTATGCTTTTTCCTTTTGTACATGTACCTATAAATATCCTATTCAAAACAAAAAATGTCATATTTACGAGGACACTCAAAAGTCTTTTGCAAAGACATACATCGTACATTCTTTTCAAAACCTACATGTACAAATAAATGCTGCATTAAGGCGATTAATATGAAGCAATTAAACACATTCAACTACTAAATTTGACCACAACTAATTTACAATTCATTCGTTTCAATTTATCATACATGTATATGACAATAAATTTCCTACCTTCCCACTTTAAATGATGGGATTCAATAAAATTTGCAAAATTGGTTTAACAGGAAACGGTGTCCAAGTTTTAGTTTCAAGAGTTCAAGTTACATGGTTTATCTTCTTCCAATATAATTACCTTTGCAGGGTATGCGTTGAAAAGTCATTTTCAATATGATTATATAAAAATAAACTCTAAATATGCAACAAATGTTATTTAGAAAAATAATAGAAGGCTTGTACTGTAGCCTGTAGGCAAGCCCAAGCCTTGCAGGCTTTTTGATTGATGAAATCAACATTAAATTTTGTGGTAACATTGAAAATTATCAATCTTCAAAGTTAAAAGATATCAGTACCGGGTACTTACACGTACAAAATGTAGGTATTTCATCTCATTATCAAGCTACATATACCCAGAGCTGCCAACCTGGTGCGACCAAAAAAAGGAATCATGATGGCAAAAAAAAGGAATTTCAAGCAAGAAAAAGGAATTCACAAAAACGAAACTTACAACCACGCGCGACACACTTCCAATGCAGAAATGTTCATTCATCATGCTGTTTTTTTCCATACAAGCAGGTAATTTTTTGGGTGGTTAATTAGTTTTCTATTGAATTTGTGATCAAATCACCATTTTAGGGTAGTTGTTTGATGTGCGGTATGTAAAAAAAAAAAAAAAAAAAAAAAAAAATTAAAAAAATTATTAAAAAACGTATTTTATGAAGAAAAAACGTAGTACCGTAATTTGAAGGAAAAAACGGAATGGTTGGCAGGTCTGTATACCGGTAGTATGACTACCAACTTGAAACAATCATCAGATGTAGACAAAAATTTGATCTGGTCAGTAATGTATGGGACAAATAAATACCTTGGATGAGCCCATGTTTACCCCCCCCCCCCCCCCCCCCCTCCTGCTTAGAAGATTTTTTAAAAACATAATAATACATGAAACAAGGTTTAGAGTTTGATATTGGAGTCCCTAGAAGGTGAAAAAAACCTAGATATTTTGTAATTCACTAAATCAGAAAATTGGTTAACCTGTGGAAAAATTGGAAACATATGAAGCAGAGTTTAAATCACTGTACTGCAAATTACATGACATTATCCAAATTAATTTTCATTGCTTCTAGGCTATAGACATGTCGGCATGGCCGTGAAATACTAAACTATCTTTCACTCCACACAGTAGCGCTTCATTTCATCATTATTTATACTCCACAGTCCACTGACTCTACAGAGTCTACACACAAGTCACAAGTGTGTGCATGCAGACGAACCAGTGGTTTTCTATTAACCCAGATATAGCCATCACACCTACAAAAAAGGCTACAAATACAGGATTCTTAAGACCCGTATTTTGAAAAAGGATTTATAATCATTAACTCTGAAAATGCATAGCTGAAAATCATACCTCTTCAGCAACCTGAGGCTTCTCCAGCACCCAAGCAACTTGACCCAAATTGAACCTCATTTTTGCAGAATAATCTTGGATGGGCAGAAAACTGTTGAAGGCATCTTCCCATCTCCCGCTCTTAGCACTTTCCACAGCATTATTCCAAGTTGTAATCAACTCCTTAAAGGAATACTTGGGTTCGTTTTCCATGTTTTTAGTCCTCTTTCTCAGCTCATTTTCATTCATCAAAGTTCCGTGGACTGGACAGTTCGCTAGCTGTTGCCTCTGCGGCAACGAATTCCCTCGCAAGGGCAATATTTTGATCGATTGCTTTGTGGAGTAGCCAGTGATACAACCGACTTGGTTTCCTTGAATATCCAACAATGTTTGCTGTCCCTTATCGCAGCAACAGTTATAAGCAGACATATCTGTCCCGGTTGATATTTATACTTTTTGATGAATAACTGTAACAAGGCCTTTGCTGCATGCTGGGAAGTTATCCAAAAATCAGTAAAATCAGCAAATTTATCAGATTCAGTGGTACTGGTAGGAACACTAAGTCTATGCATACATCTTGAGGCACATTCAAACAAGTCAAACTCAAAGATGATTGATGCCTCTCTTGTTTTGTCACGATTTCTTTTTACTAACGAGTAATGTCAATGATGAAGACGAGAAAATCTGAAAATACCTCTCTCAGAACATGGATTATGTGCAAGAGATGCAACGATTGTTTGAGCTAGAATCAATGAACATGATGAAGCATAATTTCAAACAGTGAAAAACAAAACTAACAATAGAATAGGCTAGCAAATTTAAGGATAAGGGGAAATTAAAACAGGTGCAGACTGCACTGTCTGCAGTTTTGGAACAAGAAACCGACTGTAATCGTTCAATCCAACAACAAAAGAGAGGTGAGCAAAGACAAAAATGTTAAAATGTTATGGATCTCAATCTTCAATCTCAAATTTGGAATAACGATTCTGAAGCAGCTACACGAAAAAAATTATTAATAATAAGTGATGCGTGATGGTCAAATCTAGCCGTTGTTCCTCCCCTCTGCTCTGGCGTCGGCAGCCTCCACTGAACACAAGACTCAGATTTACAGCCGGTGCTGCTTCAAATAATTTAATGTGACCACTGTATTCGGCGAACACCACGAAGAATGAGGATGACACGAGCCACAGCTTGTTAACTTCTCACAAATGTTCCAGTGTCTACATCTTCAATCCACCAATCCTCCTATTTATAAATTGACAAAACGGAACCATCTTTTCATTATTCCGGGACAACGGTGTCACCTGTACAGTAGCCCGACCACATACACTCCATTGACTACCAATGTAATACGTCATCGATAACATGAATATTCATCACATGTGACAGTCAACTCGATCGTTATTGGTCAAAAAGTTTCACCCTGTTAGTCATAATATAATTTATGCAAAATGTTTGGAGCCTGGTACCGACTGTTGTTTTTACTAAAAGGAGAGATTTCATATCAAATCTGATAAATTTGAAAGATCCTCAATTGTGATGTTTCCTTTTCTTTCTTTCTTTCTCCCCCCTTCTGTCTCTCTCCCTCTTATATCCATTGTCTTATTCTATCTCTTTCGCTTTCTTCCTCTTTTTTTCCTAATCCCCCGAGACATATCAAATTACACTTCAAATCTGTGATTAAAAAATTATTCACGGATGTAATAAATGAAAAAACTATCCAAAGAAAACCATGAATTAAGGGACTGTGGGTATTTGATTGAGGAGGGGGAGGGGGGGGGGGTCACAAAATTAATATTAAAGGTAAAGACCAGTTATGGTCATGCGATTGCATTGTGAAAGAAACGTTGTGGAATCGATCAGAAAAGGTTGATCATCTAGCATCTAGCATCTGCAAGGTTCTGGAATCATCAAAATGATAAGAAATTTGGCCCATTCTTCGTAAAGTTACAAGCACTATACACAGAAAGATGTATATGGGACTACCCTATATCTCTCACAGACCATGAGAGATATAAATTTACCAAATATATGAATTGGTAGGCGGTTTCCCGGCAAATTTTTTATCATCATGTATTATTCAAAACATATTCTTTCACATGATTGGTAATGAGAGCTTCCATTTCATTTTTTGAAACTGGCGCGTTTCCAATACTGGTCTTTACCTTTAATAGTTTCTGTTTATTTTCAGGCTATGTTTCCCTTGATAACTTTTGCAGCAGTTTCGCGAAAACGCGTGCAAATGTTGACATTGAAAAAAAAAAAAAGCACACATTTTTTGTTTTATTTGTTTTGTTTTGTTTGAGTGGTTCCTTTTTTTATGAATAATCCTCTTGACCAGGGACGGTGCATACACGTATCATGGTCTTCGAGGGCGGGGGTATACCCGTGACTAATAGATAACTTCCCATAGATCAGTGGATTGTTCATTATTAGAGGTGTGTTTTCAAAACAAATGGGACTATAGGTCGTGCCTAGATGTACCAATCGAATTTTAACTTTCGGCTCAAGCCCCTTCCAAAAAAAAGTAAAGCCCCCCCCCCCCCCCAATATTTCATGATTTCCAATGACTTAAGCAAGGTATATAATAGAAGGTGAATCATCATAATGCAAGAACCCCACCCCCCCCCTTTTTTTTTGGTATTATTATAAAGCCGCGCCTAGACAAGATTAGTGCGGGGAAAAATCCGCCCACTTTTAATATTTGCTATAGAAGAGATTTGATAAAAAGATAATCATTGAAAGGAAGGCAATTTTTTTGGTTAAATATGGTGCATGCATCAGCCACATGCACACCCCCACCATCACCCTTCTCTCTCTCTCTCTCCCTCTCTCTCTCTCTCTCTCTCTCTCTCTCTCTCTCTCTCTCTCTCTCTCTCTCTCTCTCTCTCTCGCTATCCTTCTCTCCTTCTTTCTAAGTCTCCCGTCTTTGGGAATTGTTGCCATTCGTTTAATTGGACGGTGATCTTTTTTGTTTCCACATCCGTTTGAAACCGCAAGCACGAAGAAGACGCATGCATGCAAATTTTGTTTGTCGGATTTAGCAGTCACATTAAAAAAAAAAAAGTTTTGACCAGAAACGGTACCTATGCGTATCCTGTTATTCATGTAGTAAACACAAATGGAGATATACCCTTGAGTGTGACTAAGAAATCACCTCAAACATTATCATTGGTTATTTTTAGGAAGTTAAAATTTTAATAACAACGGAAGGTTGTGCCTAGAGGCCCCAGTCACAAGCGGATGTCATTCAAATCGATTGGTTACGATATCAGTCACCATAATAATCATTACTAATGTAAATTGAGTCACACCTTGAACTTGTAATGGGGTCCAGGGGCGGATCTAGCTTTTTGCCAAGGAAGCGGGCGGGGGGGGGGGGGTTGACCCAGGATTTTCCAAAAATCGCGCCGTTTTACTTTTCATTTCTTCTTTTTTCTTCACTTGGCCGTCAAAGGGGGGGGGGGAGATGGTTTTAAACCGCCGACCCCACCCCCCCCCCCCCCCCCCCCCCCCCGCTAGATCCGCCCCTGGGGTCCCGGGGGTATCAAGGTTTGACTGTCTTACTTAGTTAAAAACGATCGCAAATCAACCTACGGCAATTTTAGGAGCCTTGAAATATGCGACTCTACTAACATCACTGAGGCATAGGTAATCCGAACTTAATTTCTATGGGATATACAATCAGCATATTTATTTATTTGATTTTTTACAAACATCAAGGTTGTCCATTCTTTGAGCAAGGTTGAATCAAATATGTTTATTTGACCATGGGTTGACAACGCGTGCAGAATCGTTTTTGACGAGTGGTGATTATTAATTTTTATCATGAAGCGCCACCTACGATTACATCGTTATAATTGGATTTTGCCCTAGATCTGGATGATAATTTCTTTCATTTCTCTTGACTTTTCTCCCTCTACCTCCCTTTCTCCTCTCTCTGACTTTTTTCCTCTGTCTGTCTCTCTCTCTCTCTCTCTCTCTCTCTCTCTCTCTCTCTCTCTGTCTGTCCATCTGTCTATATACTTCCCTTTTCCTTCCTTTTCCTCTCCGTCTCTTCCTCTGTTTTTATCTTCTTCTCTCTTTCCCCTCTTACTCCGCCGTTTTCTCTCGATCTCTCTCCCCAATTCACGAAAACTCTTACTTTAATATTATTATTCCTTAATGCATTATAACAACTTTCCCAATTAGTAACTCTGATGTAAACCAATGTGTGGTTTTATATTCCAGAATGCATGTGTTCACAAATCCATCGTAGGTCACCAACACAACGCGCTGGTGACCACTGCAATACTTCACAGTTGAAAGGAAATGAATAATACGTATATGTTTAAATATTCCCGTACACTAGTATTCGTTTGACCTCAATCAAAAGCAAAAAGAATTCGACCTTTCCCGACGAAGGGAAATTACTTAGAAAAACACCCATCGAATTACCAGTAAGAGACCTTGCATACATTGTATAAAGGAATGTAAAGTAGATTTGAAAGGCAATATTTAAATCACATTAAAGATCGAAAATTGAGCCTGTGAGAAAAGTCATATTGGGGGAAGCAGTATACATGCATACTACCCTCAAAGAGTCCTTTTGAAAAAGAGATTTGTTTTTCTCAACAACGATTCTTTTTTTTCTTCCATGAGCAGCAATAAAGTTCAACCTAATGTGCCCTTCACTTTGAATGCAAATAATAGGCTCATGTATTATTATATCCTGACGAGTGTCAATATTTAATAAATAACAATCTATTATTGAACGGGGTAGTCCCTCCCCCCCCCCCCCCACCCCCATCTTGACTACGGTTAACGCCACTGGTGTACACGAGTTAATATGGCCTTAAAGATAAGCTTGAGTTCTGGTAATGATAGAAAATAAATTCTCACAGAATACAACAAAACTCACACTGAATGTTCAAGATTACAAATAAATGACATGTGCCAAACGATTTGGGAATAAAATGTATAGGGGCGGAGTAATGAGCATAGAAAGATAAGGAAATCAAGCTATGTTCTCTCGACGAACGATTCCCTTACCAGAGCTCAAGATTAACTTTAAGTAATAAGGAAATATAAATCATGCTATTGGCTTCATAGTCTTTCTGATCAAAGACTAAACAACCAAAATGCCATTCTAAGACACATTTCTGGTTTGTGGCACGTGCCTAAAAAATCATAACCTGTACGGAGTACAGACAGACAAATAAAAACATATACTAGCATCATCTCTCATGATAGGGATTGATTTGTGGTTAGATAGCAAAATAATTGCGTCACAGGAACAACACGGTCATGGCCCTTATTTTTTCCCAGAAATAAATGTAACACTAAAGTGCGTCACTCATGTAGAGTGTATTTTGCAGCTATATTGGGGAGCAGGCATGCACTGGAGGGGGAGGGGGGGGGGGAGAGAAGAGAAACGAAGATGATTAGTATTAATGTATATCATTATATTTGAGGACACCATGAGGAAAGCTAGAGAGCACGAACTTTTAATATTAATCGGTTTTGTCGTCTCGGTACATCGGCTGTGAAGGCCTATATACAGTCATTTTATTTATTCCTTCTTTTAAATGTTTTTTTTTGTAATAAATCAAATAAAGATGAAAACCTTTTCAAACATCATATATGAAAGCACCTGGCAACGGTTTGAACCCTCAACAATTACTTATAAACCATTCAATATATTGAGAAATCTTACGAAGCAAGGGCCATGTAGGACGGGCAAACCCTAGGTTCGAAACCCAGGGGCTACTCGCGTTCCTTTGGATAATACTAATCCTCATTATATAAATTAAGGCGTATAATCGTGGATTAAAGCTCCGTTCTGTAACGTTTATGTATGAATATGTGAAATCAGACCAAAAGACGTTAAAAGATGGGAGTTGTTGCTACCTTGTTTGGCGTTCAACAATAAGGGATAGAGCAACGTCGATCTGGCGCTGCTCAGTGGCTGCCGGGCTCACGATCAATTGGGCAAAAAGAATTTCCGTTTCGGTTTAATAAAATTTGGAGTGGACTATTAGGCTATTATTATTATTATTATTATTATTATTATTATTATTATTAAAACAAATCAAGTGGGAAAGGGCCTACATCGAAGCAAGCCATGTGAACGCAAACAAAGCGAAGAAGAAGAAAACAGAAGGGGACTGCATTATTAATATTGCAATCGTGATTATTAATAAATAGGCACATATTCAAACAGGCCTATGTTGGAACGTGTGTCAGAATATAACAAGAGTGAATCGAATAGATAGATGCGTCGATCGGGGGGGGGGGGGTTCAGATAACATTAAAACTTATATTTCCTTCCTCCGGATACCTTAATGTGTTGTATTTGCCTTTACGTATCCTGCAGACGTGCATTAAAAGCACAGGAATATATACGTACATCACTTGCTGGCAGGGGAGGGCGGGGGTCTCTAGTCCGAATACAACTATTCTTTATTCAAAATGTATCAACAATAATAATATTAATAAATTTATATAGCGCAGCTTTTATACAACATAATATTCAGCTGCGCTGGTTAAAAGCTCCTTTTTTACCTAATTCTACAAAATAAGATCTCTCAGTCGAACAAATAAGTTTTTAAATATGATTTGAAAACAATGAGAGATGGAGTGCTTCGTATTTTTATAGGCAAGCTATATGGTTTGGGGGCAGCAATAATAGTTGACTGTGGTGTAATGTAACTTAGTGTAATGAAGCATTTTATAAAACTAGCAGTATAATTTGTTATTAAAGTATGTTTAAAACAGACCACCTCACCGCCCGACTATTGTCAATCCAACGATTTTCGCAGGGGTGGGGGAGGGGGGGGGGGGGGGGGGGCAGCTCCTCATATAGGCCTAAATGCCTAGAGTTGAAAGTACAACAATAGCATCATCCGCACTTTACATTGAAACCGCATTATATCGCAACGAATTTGACTAATCAGACGAAAAACAGATGTATTGTCGATCACCTATACCAATGACGAAAATAACTCGACAGGGTTTGGGGGGATATCATAGATTTTTTCCCATGTTATTGTTTATTGAACAGGATGCGACAAGGAGTTGATAAATGTAGGTCACAAACAAGAATTAGATTTCAAGAATTTTGGGAAATGTGGGAGAAAAGGAAGCGTGGTTTGAAATTCATAATCATGAAAGATATTCCCACAGATGATTTTTCTTTTATCTTAGAGCGTACTATAACAATTCTGTAACTTTCTCCCTTTTAAACGTCACACACGCACAGTAGACCTACAAAGGGTGAACCTTGGACTGTTAACAAAAAGGGGCGGGGCAGGAAAAAAAAAAGACTCTCAAAACTGATAAAAGTTCTTACATTTTGCAGTGTTCAACCATTACATTTCAGACAGTATGTTATTTGAGTATCCGAAGGGAGCAGTCTTTTACAGCAATACATACTGACGTTTTTACATGCTATTTTTGTTTTAGGTGGATTGGGGTGGGTGCCCATGCGCCTCACTGAATCCGCTGATGCATGCAGTAGTCGCACCTGTTAATGTCAATTTATAATAACAACAATCGTTTCTGTCCATTTGGAACCAACAATTTAATTCATTAATTCAGTCAGACATTCATTCATTCGAGTTAGACATTCATTTATTCATTCATTCATACATACATTCATTCATTCATACATACATTCATTCATTCTTTCATTCATTCATTCATTCATTCATTCATTCATTCATTTATTCATCTATCCATCCATTCATTCATTCATCAATACATTCGTTCATTCATTCATTCGTCCATCCTTCTTTAATTGACTGATTAATTTATTCCTTTAAACGTTACAATATACGGAAAAGGCAAGATTAACAATGTTTTTTTTGTGCTAATAGAATAGGCCTAACCCTTGAGGACAATCTCTGAATCATTAACCAGTGTACTTTAGCATTCCAAGGGGGTGTTTCACAAAGATCCTATAAGTTGAACTTATCTCTAAGTTGGACTTAAAAATCATGGGAAGCCATTAGCATCCTTAAAAATATTTTGTAAATTTCTTTTTAGAAGGCATAACATGTTGAATCAAATCATTCATAGTTTCTATTATCATGCGAGATTTCATGTTCTTTATGTGGAATTTATGAAAAGAATAAAATACTTGAATTTTTGCTTTTGAATAAATTTCATTATAAGGCTACAAAAATGGCTCTCCATAATATTTAAGTCCAACTTAGATTTAAGTTTGACTTGAAATCTTTGTGAAACACCCCCCAATTAGAGTATTTAGTTTGTTCTTACCACTTCACCCTCACCGAACCGGTACTGACTCATCTCGAGGTGGCCGATGTTGAAGAGAATCTTGGCCGACGGGTCCCCGATCCCCAGGAAGGCCTGGAGAGCGGCGTCCACGTTCCCCTTGTCGAACGTCTGCACGCCCTCATGCCAGACCTGTATAATGTCCTTGTGTGTCTGCTTATCCATGGTCGATGATGTCGCCTTCCGACGTCGAAAACAAAAACCGAGATGGGTTTATTAAATTTCAACGCATCTGAATTAAATGAAAATCAGTCTCCTCCAAAAGTCTAACGTATTAGTGGATTTTGTGCATCCCGGCAAGTACCGTGGGCATATTATATCGAGGTTCAACTTGGTGCCAAATGTTAATTACTATAGGTAAATAAAGCTCTCCCGATTCGTCAGTTCGCTGATTGGTCCGAAGTACTGGTTATCTAGAAGCCTTCGGAGGTACCTGTATACCTCCAGGAATAAAATATATTTATCCTCATAGAATATTCCAAACTTGCCTCACAAAAACATGAGCGCGGAGCATATACCAAGACCCAGGCATCAAGAGTGCATGCAGGGCCGATCCAGTTTGGTATGGTACTCTTATACAATATACTAACTAAACCAGGAAGTGAGTGTAGTAGATACGGTGTAGTGGTATACAAATTACCTGTTATTCTCTATTTCGGCTTGCTGATCGCATAAAGAAAAGAATCACGACAATAAGCCCGTTTGGGCGATCACTGTTTTGTTTGGGTTCCTTTATGTGTCACCGAAGCGGTGACCTCTTATATACTTCCTGGTAATAAAAAAAAAACCAAATGCCTATAATGAACATTTTATGGCACATTTAATGAAATACACGCTTATTTACAATTAATTTGTCTAGGCATAATCAAGTATATTGGGCCGTACGGCTCTAACGTTTAACCCCTAACAAGTTCTATAGAATGATGTTACTGAATCTGCAAGACTCAATTCTGAAGAAGAATTTTCCTCACTATAATTAATTATATTGAGCCCCTGGTGTCAACAATGATTAATCCCATATATGATAATTGTGTTACTTCGTTTTTTTCCTGTTCTATATGTTGCTTGTATTTTCTTGCCTGCATGTTAGAGAATAATTTAGGAGTAAAAGAACATCTATTGGTAACTTTTTGTTTGATTGGTTGTGTATCGTTTTTGTTGTTTTAGTGTTTTGGGCCAAATATTTTTCGGGCAAGTGCCCCCCCCCCCCCCCCCAACTCTCATCCTCATCCAGCCTCAAGAGAATTATGGACCCGCCACTTTGAAAATGAATTTGAGCCCCTCATTTAAAACTGTCTCCAATCAATGGATAATCAATAGTATCTGTTGTAATACTGTAAAGAGCGCCATCACTCTCTCGTAACGAAGTAGGTTCTTGGTCAAGTTTGGAGGTAGGGCTCCCATATAATAATTATAACGCAAGCTCATACGATTATCATCTCATTCAGTCTTTCTCCCCCTCTCCCTGTTTCTATCGTTGTCAAAATCCCTTTAGGTGTAACCCCCCCCCCCCCTCTTTTTTTTCTGATTATGTTTCTCTGCCCAAGTCGTGCGCGCGCGTTCTCTCTTTCTTCCTCTCAATCTCAGTCACACGAGTCTCTTATTTTATTTCTCTTAAGTTCTGTCTCTCTCCGGTCTCCTCTGTCACTTCTACTCATTTTCCGTCTCCGTTTGTCTCCCCCTCCCCTCTCTCTTCCAAAGACACTTCCCCTCTTTTCTATTGTTTCTTCTTCTTTTTCTTAGTTTCTTTCCATCTCTGTTTGTCTCAACCCCCCCCCTCCCCCTCTCTTTATTGTCCTTCTAGGCTTCTACATCCCCTATGTCTCATTCTGTCTCTCCCTTTCTCCTAGATAAACTCATTCTTTGTCTTTATTGCATACCGGTATCCCAAGTTCCGAATAGCCCTTTTCAAACAAACCCCTTTGTAAAAAGAAAAACACTTATGAAACACCGATCTTGTTCACATTAATCCATTTCATTGGTCTCTTTTTCTTTTCTTTTCATTTAAGTTGAATAAAAAATATATATACAAGCAAGAAAGAAACCACAATGCATTCATCATAAAAATAAGACAAATCAATCAAAATTAAATAATTTATCCTAAAATGATAATGAATACTCAAGCCCACACCATTAGATCTGACAAAAACAATTAATAAATAGTTCTATTTCATGAGCAATATATTGACTAAAAATGTAATATCAGTATGAAATACTGAGTTTATGAAAAGCTATTTAAATTTTACTATCCTCTTCAATTGCATAGACAATCTAAAAGTTAAAACAAAATTAGATTGAACTATGTGTATCTTCAATCAAAATATTGTATCGAGATAGAAATAATCAAACTACAATCCAGTTTAAATTCCTCATCCTAATCATTATCGATAGACATCACTTAAAGGTAAAGACCAGTATTGGAAACGCCCCAATTTCAAAAAATGAAATGGAAGCTCTCATTACCAATCATGTGAAAGAATATGTTTTGACTAATACATGATGATAACAAAATTGCCGGGAAACTGCCTACTAATTCATATATTTGGTAAATTTGTTTCTCTCATGGTCTGTGAGAGATATAGGGTAGTCCCATATACATCTTTCTGTGTATAGTGCTTGTAACTTTACAAAGAATGGGCCAAATTTCTTATCATTTTGATGATTCCAGAACCTTGCAGATGCTAGATGCTAGATGATCAACCTTTTCTGATCGATTCCACAACGTTTCTTTCACAATGCAATCGCATGACCATAACTGGTCTTTACCTTTAAAGTGAGATTCTGCACAGATGTGCAAATTTGTATTTTATATCCTCCACCAATACCAGCAAAGACATTTTTAAAACTTTCTTTAATCAAAATTTTGAACAAAAGAAGCTGTTCCCTGTAAAGTTTTACAATTCATTTCTACAGAGAAATTATATTTAGAGTTGTTTTTAATAAATATATGGCACATATGAAATCAGGTATATGTCTACTCTACAAGATACCAAACTATATTTATAGGGTTTTAAACATGATTGAAATAAAGAATGGAAAATCTAATTATTACAGACTTGATTTAAAGAAACATTTGAGATTCAATGTAAATATAGTATTTTGTAAAATGTTAACAAAAAATTGTATTGTCTTAAACCATAATCACATCAATGATAATAATATTCTGGGCTAAAGAGTGCTTAACATATTGAGAATGTCTCTGAATGAGCGTATTACAGCAATATCACTACCTTGGTCGTCACATTAAGGCTTGCTCACAAACAATGTGTGCACATTCTTCTGCACAACAACTTCTACATCCTTCTGGGTACCCATTTAACACCTGGGTGGAGAGTGGTAAATGTGGATTCATGTCTTCCCAAGGACATTAGTGCCAGGATGGGATTTGAACCCTAAACCCTTGGATTTAGAGTCAAGTGAATGAACCACTATACCACGACACCTCCACATGTTTATCTTACATAAATCTGAAAACCCATTTGTGTAGCAGCACTCTAAATAATCGCTGAAGGTCAAAGCCCCATTGCACTACTTACAGCTACTTGCGCCCTCTTAATAGCAAACAATGCCTTATCGGTAACCATTGGTCCCCCATGGTCCCCCTTTTCTTATGTCAATTGAAAACTAGTTTGATGAGATATCCATCTGTCAGTGACCATGCAGGGTGGTCTAATCCCTCCTGGCCAAACTAGTGCAGAGGGGCTTTAAAAAACTACAGTTCCTTCGTGAAAATTTCATCACTAATTTTGATCTTCAAAAAAGGACAGTATCGAACCCAAAAATTGTGCACCCTTGGCCCAAATACAAAATAATGAGTATATTACTATTTCTTACAGATAACAAAACAATTTTTAAACTTAGTTTTAAAAAAATGAATAAAAATAAAGGCACACTGATGTTAATGTATATAACAAACTTGTGACACAAATTATTTAATATCAACAAATATATTGCATGTTTCATAACTTTTGGCACACTCTACATAATACAAGTTTATTCACAAATATCAGAGCTACTTGCTTAGTCATTTCAGTCGCTAATTTGATGGAAGGAGGTTCTATTATTAAGATCATGTGAAGACAACTTTACAGAAGACAACATTTTTGCATCAGAATTTAGCTATTCTGACTGAATTATTAATGACATTTGGAAGTTTTTTTTCATCGTCATCTGTTTCATAATATGATTTTTAAACTAGAGAAATAAACTCAAGAAATTAAAAAGAGACATGAATTGAGTTCTTGCAATAGAATTTTTAATTTTGCCATTTGAGTGATCAATTCGAAATATTTGGAAGTTTTCATCATCATATAATTTTTCACAACAACATGATTTCCAAATGGAACAATTAATAGAAGACATAAACTAAGATTTGTTATTGCAATAAAGTTCTTCTCTTGCAATTTTGGAAATGTTATCATCAATGCTTGCAAACAATGCGATTTTCAAATAAACTTCATAGAAGACGCGGATTGAGTTAGAATTTTACATTTGTGATTGAAATTATTGTTTAATAACATATGGAAGATTTTACTATTATCAGGAGAAGATGTATTGATGGAGGCAAAGTTGCAGAAGACATAAAACAGAGGTTGCATCAAATTCTAATCTTGATACTAAATGTATTTGATATTTTGATCATTGATCAATAAATGGAAGTTTTTAATTAGTCTACACTGTTTTCATGGCATGATGAGTTTCAAATGAAGACAGATTTACATTTGACATGAAGTGACAGACGATTTTTTTGTCAGAATTCTACTTTTGTGATTGAAGATATTTAATCAATAACAATCAGAAGTTTCTACCATCACCTAATATTTTCATAAACAGATGAGTTACAAACCAAGACAACTTAACATCAGACATAAAATGACGAATGATTTTGCATCAAGCTTAACTGTCCCTTTTTAATAGTTTCTGATCAGTCATATTGTACCCCATACAAAATACATGCACATGTCCTTTGAAAAAAGGGGACCCATATATAGGATCAGAATCAATTCTGGGAAGAAAATTCAAAAATTTTCAAAGTAGAAAACACATTTAAAAATAAAATACTACTTAACAATACCAATGCATCATAATGAGTGACGATACATCCTCAAAGCTAAAAGGCAGAAAGACGTAAAATTATATCTTCATCTTTTTTACCAACAAATATTTCCTCCTTTCAAAGACACATCATATATTTCAACAGTATGCATAAGTATATAAATGTACATCCATTACAAGTAATATTTAACTCTTTGGAAACACAAATACTATAGAATCCGACTCCAACTCTCTTCTCGTACCAACAGATGATAGACAAAAAGTTTTTTCCAAGCTCAAAGGTCGGCTCCTAACCATTCGAAGAACGTTTCCACGGTCGAATCTTTTCAAAAGAAAACTGTTGTTTGACTGTCCTTATGGAATGGTCCTTTTCTATGATCAGCGAGCGAGCCGCGTTAGTTCTAAATGTTTCCAGCACAAATCGGTAAAATTTATCCTCCACTGTCCAAACGTCGTTGTTCTTGAGCGTGTCTAACGTGTAAGGCAGAGGATTGAGCTTTTGCACTGTCTTGCGTAGGTGAGATTTTTCTCCTGTGGGCAGAAAAGAAAAATGAGGGAATGGATAAACATTTTTTAACCTCAAGTGAAAAAGAAATTTTGGGGATACAGGGTCAAAGATGACTTGGTACAGTCAAACCTGCTTTAGTGACCACCTGTCTACAACAAGCACATTTTTTGTTTCCCTTGAAAATGGTTTCTCATTGAAACATGTACTAAAGGAACCTCTCAACAAAGACCACCTGTCTACAAAGTACAAAGATTACTTTTTGTGTTTCCCTTTGGCGGTTGCTATAGACAGGTTTGACTGTAAAATGTTTAATTGCTATTTTTACTAGCTGGGGGAAAGCAGGAAGCTTGGTTGTGCAACACCTGTGAAAATTGCTTCGTGATTAATATCCCTCAATAAAAGAATTCTCAATTTAAAGCCTGTACCCAACACTATACTTAAAGAGAAGGTTGAGTTCTGGGAAGAGGTGAAAAATAATTTGTGAGCGTTACTCATTCTTATTATGCAAGTGTGGAAGAACATCAGATAAGACATGTTCCCTAAAAAGCATGGCTCTTCAAATGCTTTCATATTCTACATATGTCATGTAACATTGTAAAACTCTGGGGTAGGATTTTTACACTAAATGTTCGTGTAGTCCCATATACATCTTTCTGTGTACAGTGTTTGTAACTTTACCAAGACTTGGCCAAATTTCTTATCATTTTTGATGATTCCTGAACCTTGCAATACACACAAATTCTTATATGCTACATGATCAACCTTTTCTGGTCGATTCCACACCGTTTCTTTCACAATGCAATCGCATGACCAGAACTCAACTTCATCTCTTAAACCCTAACCCCAAGGCCTCCTTCAGATATGATGCAGCAAAATCCTGAAGTGTATTAATTATGATGCAAAGTATAACACGCGTCGCACGTTAAAAAAACTGTGGCGTTTTGTTGCGGCCTTTTACAACATTATATCTGAACGAGTCTTAACTCTCTACACTGAACCAAAACCCTGTTGTTACCCTTACCCTATACCTTTGATGAAATGAAGCCCAGGGCATATGTCATCAGATGATCAGGGCAAATAATGGATAACTATTCTGACAAAGTAACCACAAGACCACATTAGGCATGTCTTCATTAGCTCGAGATTGCCAAATAGCCCGCTCTTTCTGATTTGGGAAATAATCCTGAAGTTACAAATCACGCCTTCATCAGCTCGAGATTCAACCTCGAAACTTGAGACTCGACCTTGAGAAATTAGCTCAAGATATTTTGCTAAGCTTTCGCCCATAGTGCGATTCTTCTGGCTGGTGAAGACGCTCCGGACAAATAGCAGGATATTTTGCCAAATAATGGGGTATTTTGCAAACTATCCCAAATATCTTGGGATGATTATCCCGATCAAATATCCCGCTAATTGCAACTTCGGGCTGATGACCACAAATGACAGTGTCAGGATTAAGGACACTGTCTGTCCCTTGAAGAGGATATTCAATTCCTATTGCTATGCTATGCCGTATTTCAACAATCATCTGCAGGCACAGACTCAAGTTCGACACTTTACCACACTTGATAAAGCCTTGGGCAGAGTCTAGCTCTGGCAGTCTCTGGCTGTATCCTGAGCAGCTAAAGTACAGAGCCTATGCAGTATGCCTTCAGCATAGTCTCATCGCGCAGACACTGTCACAAACAGCGACTGGCAAGGGTTCATGCCTGCAGACTATTTCAACATTACTCTTCACAAGGGCTCATGTTATATTGGAGAAAAGACAATTGGATGATAGCTTATTAGTTTGCGGATGCCCAGGAGCGCATTGATCGGTAGGTGGAGCGGATGGGCTATTCAATCCAACCTCACGTTTTGTTTTATTTGTCTACAGATTCCTAGGGGGACAAGATTATCAATACATCACAGGGCGAGGGTTAGGGTAGGTCATCCCAAGAAAGTGATTAAAGTAGAGAGGGAGAGGGAGAGAGAGAGAAAGAGAGAGGTAGAGAGAGAGAGAGAGGGGGAGAGATATATATGGAAAGAGATCTCAAGAGAGGGGGGGGGGGGGGGGGGAAGCAAAAAAAGAAGCAAAAGCAAACAATCACATAGAGAGAGAGAGAGAAAGGGAGAGATAGATAGGTAGAGAGAAAGAGAGAGAGAGAGAGAGAGAGGGGAGAGAGAGATAGAGAGAGAGAAAGGGGGGGGGGGAGGGAGATGTCCAAAACCTTTTAGGAGCCAAGTTTTAGATACCAAATACTATAAAGTTATTCTGCAATACATGCATATAATTCTAAAAACATGCATATCCCAGAAAAATGATATTCAATGTCTCGAGGGCTACGGCTCAACAAGATTCCCTTTAAAGCCCGAAGAATACTATACAAACCTTTCATAAAAATATGATGTGCTCCTTTAAAAAATGATGGAAGGGAGGCCTCTAGCATCGCTACAAACTCCTCCATATGCTCTGTTACTCCGACCAAGAAGTATTTATTGACGACGTTGGACTTGGCTTGTTCTAAGGCCCATCTGCTGCCAGGTTTCCTGAACAAAAGAGCGATATCAATCAGAAAGAAGACAAAAACACATGAGTATGTGAGGAGCAAAAGGTCACAACTGCTTTTCAAAATCATATATACACTATTAGGCTCTTATATTGTTTTGCTTGCTCTAAGGCAGTTGTTATGCGCAAGCCCCTCCGTTTTGAGAGAGAGAGAGAGATCACAGTGCTAGAAAAATAAAAATAAAACTAGTTTACCACAAAAATATTAATTACATCAAGTGCAATTCCATCATTATTTAATAAATCTCAAACAATACACATTAACAAAATAAACCTGTGCTTTATTTTTTATCATCTTTACTGGTATACAAACTAGAACATGGAAAAAATACTAGTGGAGTATATATAGTATTACTATAAAATCAAAGGGACTTTTTAAGCCAATAGGTCCTATGTCACATCTAACAACTTTGCTCCCTAATAGGAGGATAAACCATACCGGTAAATAGAATTACCGGTATCTACACAAAAAAAGGGGGGGGGGAGCATTTTTTTTATCCAGATTCTCTGCCATGTGAAAAAGAATAAACACATTAAATTTTGTCAGTTGCATTGTGGTCTTTCAGGTGTATTTTGGTAAAATCCCCGACAAGCCCACCCCCCCCCCCCCCCAAAAAAAAAAAATCACATATCTCATGAGCATTTGGATACTATAATGTCATTTTTAAAGGAAACTTTTCAGATGATATACAAATGGTAGCAGGTTGAGAAATTTATATATTTTTTTTCTTCAATCGACTAGAATTTCCATATTGTGTTTTGTGAATGTATGCATTTAATGATCCACAGACAATTTCTTTTTCTTTTTCTCAGGGACTATTTTATTATTCAAGTCTATAAGGGGCTCTCTTTTTTAACCTTAGGGGCAGAGTGCCATGTTATTATATATCCAAAATCAAATTGTATCTAATGGGTTAACTGATATTTTGTTCCGATTCCAGGGGTTTTCGGAGTAATGAATTGTGATTCATCTTGAGAATGTAACTTGTATGAACGACTCCCCAGGGAGACATGTGTCTATGCAAATTTTTAATTTTTCCTGGGAGTTATGATCCATTCAGTCATTATACCCGAGTCATAATAACAGATAATGCATGCATGTCTATGCCCTGTGCATATGGGAGCACTTATAATGACTTGCAAGTAATGGACATGCATTGTACGACCTGTCAGTCATAAAACCGGATCTACATGAATACATGAACGATTACATCTACCGGTATTCACAGGTTGGGATGGGAAAAGGGGAGGATTTGATGATGAGAAAAAAGAAAGTGAACCCTGGATAACATTAAGAGACAGCATGCTCTGAAATTTGAGCTCATTTTGAAAGCCACTGCAGGCTTTTTTATTACTCACTAAGACACTAATGTGAATTAAGTCATTAAAAGTTTTCTTTTTTCCTAGCTAGACATCTTTCAAAATGTTTCTTCTCATTATTTGCTACCGGTACTGATTCATCATTTCCTTGGAAAGGGGTTTTTCTTTAATTCTCATGGTTCCCTTCTAAGGGCGCGTTTATTGGGTCTTGCCACTAGATATGTACATATCGAACCCCACTATTATACCCCACTATCGAACCCCACTATACGAAAGTGATTTGCGGGATGTCGCGTTTATCGTCTCTTCACGATTCAAAAGAAAGGCCTTGTGTCTGCGCAGCTGTTTTGACCCAGGAAGCAGACAGTTTCTCGGAGGTCAACTACACACACATGCTTGTACACAACACATGGCGCGCGCTAGCCTCCGAACCCTTAACCTGGGAGGTCCGATTTGTATGTGGGGTTCAAAACTGTATGTCACATTCAAAACACACCTTTTTGCGTCTTTAGATATGCCCATATCTAAAGACCTTTAAAAAAGGCTTTGCGTTTATCACCTTCTAAATTTGCCTGAAAGGCGTTTGAGAAACGTGATTCTAGCCAAAAATTTGGTCAATAAACGCAACCTTAGAGAGCTATGAAAATCTTTTCTCAGGATTAACATGTTTAGCAAGTTAGTTTCATATACATATTCCCACAACTTACATTGCTACACAGTCCTATAGAGGGCCTCATAATACAGCAATCACAAACTATTGCTTTCACTTCTTTTCCCTACACCCTTATCTGCTTACTTCCAAGACCTCCAGAGAGCAATATAAATATTCCAACTTTACAGAATGACAAAATAAAGGGAAGGATATGAATTTGCTTTATTTGATATCCTGGACTTTCTCGTGATACATGTTCTCATTTAAGGCTTCATCTTGTTAAACCCTTAATAAATAAACCTGATAAATAATTTAAAACATTTAAAACACCTTTCCTCTGTTAGGACAGGGCGCAGTATTCTTCTGAATAATTAATAGGCCTACATCAGAAGAGGTTGCCTTTATTGTATCTCTGGGTGCACTGCGTTTATTAACTCTTGCTACTTTGCGGGATGGAGCGTTTATCAACTCGTCACGATTCATTTATCAATATGCAAATTTGCCTGAAACACGTTTGAAATCGCTGATTATAGGGTAGAAAAGAGTTGATAAACACACCCTCTGTTTTGTTTTGTGTACAAATTTTGTAATGCCCATGGAAAGGAAATTCCATAATCCCCAATAAATATTATTTTCTAAGACAGCATCTTACCAGTGACCTGAGTTCTTTTTTCTTTTCTTGATATTGCAAACACTTCTGAAGAATATGTCAATATCACTATAAAAACTGTGAAGTAAATACCAATTTCCTACTCTTTTCCAAGTTAGCGATTTATTGGTGATTGCTGATGTATCATAACCCATCATGAGCAGGGCTCTAATATGAACCCCTCACCAAATTTTTGAAAGGTAATATTTGATAGGCTTTAAAATACCAAATTACCCCTTGTAGAATTTTATCTCTAGTTTACCACCAGCCCAAGAGAGCAATGAAAAACAGCTTTTTCCCACTATCAGTATCACCTCCTTCTTATCCGCCCATCTCAGCTCCGCCCCCCAGGAGGGTACAACCCCCACCCCCCATGGGTACAACCCCAACCCCCCTCTAATCTCAAGCATCTCCCAGGACTGGTAAACTGACCTATTTTTAAGGTCACAGATTGAGACCAGCGAAGAAATGCTAGTCTTGATATTCAGGCTTTTTACAGATAGTGTATTAGTACTGAATTGAATGAAATAAAAGATTGAAAGTCAAATCTATCAAATGAATGAAATGAATCAAATGAATTGGATAGAGTTTGGTAGAGAGCCACACTAAATGGTCTCACATCCCTAAAATGCACAGCTGATATGGCATTTTCTCGAACTGGACAGCTTAAAATATCCACCACCTTCAAAATCACTTTTTATTTGACCAATTAAGAAAACTGACCTTCTTAGATCTTCATAGATTCATGTAAACTTATTTCATTTTTCCCCCAACTCCAGTCATAGTTCTGCTGTAAGATAGACTTAAAATAAGAATAAAAAATCATGAATTGTTGCCATCAAGTTACTTCTTCATACCTGCAAATCTTCCACAGATAAAATTAAGAATTTCTCAAGACAAAATTAGGAATATACCATGTATACTTTGTGTGTTTGACACGGATGATGTTAAAAAATAGAGGAACCCAAGGATCTGAACATTAGTTTGAAGCAGGATTCATTGCTCCAAGATAGCAATGATTGGAAGCTATTCCTCTAGTACCCCTCCCTTTAAATCATGCATAGAGTTACATAAATGTAAAACTATCAGACTCCCTGTTTGTGCTCTTATGTTTTGAAACGTGATATATTTGTGATCTATTTTGTTAAAGCCTGGAAAGACTAGACTATATCCTACACATTCTAGACCCCAAAACTAAGATCTGACCTTCAGATGGCGGGCGAAAGCTGATGATTATTTGCCTTCCCAGACCATTAGCAATATCCAAATGAAATGAAGAGAGAAAAGAAAGATTGACTTGACCGTGAAGGAGGGGAGGACCGGAGGACGGTTACTTTATCAAGAATTTCAACCCCTGTTCTCACCAGTGCATCGATGGAAATATCTTCTGCTGTGAATCATCTAGATCTGTAAGATAATGTCCTTTAGTACCCCCCCCCCCTTCCCCTAATCCAGAATAAGAAGAAAGAACTACCGGTCACTTGGCTGTGAACTAGAAAGAATAGTTCATCAGACTTCAAGCTCTTATTCTCGCCAGTGCGTTTGATTGAAATATCTTTCCTATGGAAATTAAGTTTGTTAGTTTGCAACAAGTTTGCAGTGTAATTGCAGCAAGCTGATTTGGTACAAAACAAGCTTCCTTCTGCAAAATATTTGTTACCAGGGTAATCTAGTTGATCCAATGGCATTTGAACCCAAAGTGATGAATTTGGGTATTACAAACCTCATTTTATTTCCAGAATTACGAAGAAACAAATTCATTACACTGATTTCCATTATTTCATCATAACCTTCAATACAGGTATGGTAGTTGTAAAATTGCGGTTCAAGGGTTTGGGTTGCAAAATATCCATTCAATATTGTTTAAATATTGCCTTCAGAGGTTTAGATGGCAATACTTCAGCCTAAATTTGCAGAAATCTAAAAAGCAGAAATATATGCCTAAATATTCAATGTTGAAGTGCATTCGCGATATCTATCCAGGCCAGATCGATATGATAATTTACCAAATATATCAATTAGTACCGGTAGGTGGTTTCCCGGCAACATTTGTATCATCACGTATTAGTCAAAACATATTCTTTCATATGATTGGTTATAAGAGCTTCAATTTCATTTTTTGAGAGGGGGCCTTTCCAAAACTGGTCTATACCTTTAACATCTTTTGTTTGTAATTGAATGTCTACGCCCCAGCATTTCCTTGGAAGCATGTATGTGGGTAGTGTGAAGGTACCTTGTTAAAGATAAACTCCAGTTCTGGTTTTAAAAAAAAAGAGATTAATTCTCACAGAATCAAACAAAACTTACACTTAATGTTCAAGATTACAAATAAATGACATGTGCCAAACAATTTTGGAAGAAAATGTATACTGGCTGAGTAATGAGCATAGAAAGACAAGGAAATCAAGGTAGTACTAGCCCCAACACCATGTGTGTTGTCCCATATATAGCTTTCTGTGTACAGTGCTTGTTACTTTACCAAGACTCAGCCAAATTTATTATGATTTTGATGACTCCAGAACCTTGCTGTGCACACCAATGCTTACATGCTACATGATCAACTGTTTCTGATCCATTCCACACCTTTCCTTTCACAATGCAATCACATTACCAGAACTGGAGTTTATCTTTAAGGGCCTGGCTCTTGCTTCACCAAGAATTCCTCAAGCATTTGTGCTTACCACTTTAGATATACCAACTGAAAGATCTTGTCATCAGGTTTGAGAGCCAGACAAACATTGAAGGCAGTGATTAGGATTGCATAAGGCCAGCCACCTCTTGTTTAATCATTATGGGTAGATACAGCCTCCAAAATATGAAATAAACATCTGTCAAATATTTCAAGGAAAATGTGACATTTCATACCTAATTTGTATTTATTTTACTTTCTGAAATTGACATTCCAGATTGCCACACTGTGTAGAGGACTATATTCCATATACATTGCATGTGTGAAAAAAGTTAACTGTGGCAGCCCGCTGATTGTTCCTTTTACTGCACAAGTAAATGGGATAGATATACCAAAGGCTTCAAGATTATTTAAATGTTCCAGTGCAAGAATAATCTATACCAGTGTTTAAAGGGTTGTCATGGAGCTAATCAAAACCAGAAATGGGTAATTTTGCAAAGAATAAACTCTGTTGCACAAAGCAATTCTTCTGTCAATGGGTGTTTATAGGTTTGTGCAAAATTGCATGTGTAGCATACGAGCGAATGTGCAGAGAGGCAGAGAAAACAACCAACATATTAATCAACCCCCTTCCCTCCACAAAAAAAAAAATAATTAAAAAATGCCACTAACATAATGTACTCAGGTTGGAAGAGGTTACTTTTTCTTAACCTCAGGATAACTTCCTTCATTCAGCTGTTTAAATGATCAAGGTAATAAAATTAATTTGAGGGGATATTTTAAATGTATAATACTATAATTTGTTTAATTGTTAGATCAGAAAAGTCTTTCACAAGCTTTGGAGTTTGTCAAGCATAATAACATAGTAGGAAACATATGTCAGAAATATGCAAATGATTATAAGATTCATTTAAACAACAATATATTGCTGTGTTTCAATAAACTTGTTTTTTGGAGTACAGAATGTTTTTAATATGGCTAGAAAAAAACAAGCTTTCAAGTTTATAAACATGCTGGTCGTCTTGGTCGATAATATCTATCCTTATGGCTAAAAAAAATTCATATGAAATGGAATGAGCATTTTGGCTTGATGAACGATAAACCAAAGTGGCGGTAGTTACCAAAGGGATAACAAAAACAAAAAAAGATTGCTTGAGTTGAAAAATACAATTCTTCCAACTTAAAGATAGCAAAAAAGGGGAATAAAATATCTATTTCATCTCCTATCTCATTTGCAAGAACTATAAATCTGTTACTCTTTCCATGCAATTATTCTCGAGGAAAACATTTGAAGACTTTGATTGCAAAAGAGCATTATCTCTTTTTTAGATGATTCAAGCTAAGTGCAATCTTGTGATTTAATAAAGAATTTAATTCCTGTGAAATGATGTTACACTTTTGTAATGTAAATAAGGCCAACATAATGCCATACTCAAATGAAAAACTGATTTGGTATTTATTTCTACTTTTATTGTACCTCTTAAATCTAAAAGTAATGTTATTGTAGAAGAGTGATTTAAGCTCAAAATACGCCTATCAATCTGCAAATTGCTATTATATTGGCATTTCTAGATTCAGGATTTGGCATTTAATACATTTTGCAATTTACTGCAAAGGTTTAATAGAGGGCACTACTTTGGGGTTCAGCTATATTGGTTTTGGCTATAAATACACAGATCAAATGACTACAAGATGTTTCCCCCGCTAGATGGGAAACATCGAAGAGTAGCTTGAACTCTAACCCTCATGTCCTGGGCCGAGCTAAGCCATCTTGTATTAAAGAAAAGGTCGAGTTCCGGAACAGGTGAACAAAATAAACTGAGAGCTTATCCATTGTTTGTGTGTTAGTGTGGATGAATATCATAAACAAATCTCACCTGAGAAGGATGGCTCTTCAAATGCCCTCATATTTGAAATATGAAAAGAAATGGCAGAAACATTTGGACCAAACTTTCATGCCGCATATATGTGTAGTCCCACATCCACATTTTTGTGTAAAGTGCATGTAACTTTCATCAAAATCAAATCCTTATCATCTTGATGATTCAAAAACCTCACAGTATACACTAATTCTTATGTACTAGTACATAATCACTTTCCCCGGTTGCTTCTAGGCGGTTTCTTTCAAAACGCAACCACAAGACCAGAACTCAACTTTATCTTTAAGTCTTACATTCTCCCTTTAGCTCATTCCGTCCCCGTCTGTTTTTAATCCAATCGTCCCTCTTGTGCCAGCTGATCAATAAAATCTTGCCTTTGGCCATTTCCTACCTGCTCTATATAATGGATACATGTACTGACCACTATCAAAGCGAGTAGAGCTTTCCACGCTGGTTTCCAAAGTACTTTCCATCCAATGTTCGTTTGTCTAAAACCTTGCTTTTGAATGCATCTATCTCTCCATCCTGTCTCACTAATATAATTCAATACTTCATTTTACATATAACAGATTGATTTTATTCACCTTTCCTTTCAGCTATTTATGCCTTGCCTTGCAATCAATTTTCAGAGTTCTTTCTATTGCATATTCATCTGACTAAAACCATGGATTTGCATATAACTATCTCTCTGTCCTTTCAAATCAATACCTCTAGTCCTTCATGCACTAAATTAAAAAAATCAATGTTACGTATTTTTCCTATCTTGGCTAGGTCTTCCATTCACAAAAAGTTTCCTATCTAATTTCGATACCATATTCATCTTAAAACAATCCATCTACCTCTCTATCCTTTTATATCCATATCTATAATTCATAGAGCAGAACTAAATCATCTTCTTCTCATCCCTCTTAGCTACACCTTCCATTAAAGTCAGGTTTTCAAGAGTACCGGTACTCTCCATTCCATATTCATCCCTCCATCCATCTCTCTATCTTCTCCTATCGATATTGATCGTTGAACTAATGGATCGATGTCAACAACCTATCCTCCTAGCTTAGTCTTCCTTGTCAGGCTGCCTTCATTGTAGAAGTTTACAAGTATCATCTGTTCAACTTTCCATCTACCTAATATTCCAATTCTTTGAATTTTATCCATCTCTCAAAGAATTGAGGATTTTTTTATTTGTTTATTTTTTTTTTGGGGGGGGGGGCTACTTCAATCTACAATGGAATTGCATAATAATTTCAGTGACTTATTGTCACAAATATTTCTATGGGGGCTATTTGATCATGAAACACAGATTCTGTTAAGAGTTTTAGGGGTAATGACCTTGAGCCCCATTCTTTTTCCTTCTTTTTTTCCACCCCAACCCTCCAATGCTTACCAGCTCTCCTAGTTGTGCCCCAGAAGAAAGGAAATGTGTATATTTTTAAACTACAAGGTTTAAACAAAAAATATTCAGGGTCACATGCTATTTCTTTTCACTGCCAGGGTTGAATCTACAGAAGAAAGGAACTTGAAAAATGTGCTCAACTACACTGGCTCTTTAAAAAGATACCTGAATATTTGATTAATTATATAAGTGTTAGGGGTGACAATCGCGCACCCCTTTCTCCTTTTTAACCCCTTCCCTTCCTTACCAGCATTCTGGGTTGTGCCCACAGAAAAAAGGTACTTGTATCCACATGCGCTCTGGTGCGCAGTCAAAGCCTTGTCTCATAACACATTCATCAAGCGTCTGGCAGAGAAAGTGAGAAAAGAAAATGCGGTGGAAAATTTATTTCATTAGGATACACATTAGACCAGCCTACATTGTCTGCAATGAACCCAAAGAGCATTTAGAGCAGTTGAATTAGTTCACTAATTTAATTTTTCAATAATATAATTTCAGTATTTTCCCATGTGGACTGTTACTACTTAAGTAAATTAGAACACAAAGTGAGTTCCTGGATTTCTCCAAGGTTTTTGATACGATAAACCATCATATCCTAATTTATAAACTCTCAAACTACGGAATAAGAGGAAAAGCCTTGGAGGAAAAGCTCTAGGGTAACCATAGGCTTGCCTTCATTAGTTCGAGACTGCCAAATAGCCGACTATTTCTGATTCGGGAAATAAGCCGGAAGTTATAAATCGCATCTTCATCAGCTAGAAACTCAAAACTCAAGCTCGAGATTTTAGCTCCAGATATTTTGCTGCGCGTTTGCGCATAGTGCGAGCCTTCGGGCTGGTGAAGAAGCACCAGACAAATAGCGGGATATTTTGCAAACTAGCCCAAGATATCTTGGGATGTTTATCTTGACCAAATATCCCGCTAATTGCAATCGCGGGCTGATGAAGAGGCAAATTAGCTGGATAATTTGCGATCGGGATGGTTAAAATAGCGGGGTATTTGGCAATCTCGAGCTGATGAAAACAGGCCTCATCAGAATAACATTTTTTGTAAAACAGAGTATGACTCACCTCGTTACTCCTCGCTCTATGTCTTGATAGGCTTGGTCTGAAATCATCCCCATGCCTCAGAAAGTAGTAATAGGAGATAAATCTGTCTAGCGGTGAACGTACCATGTTGATGTATATTGGGTTTACGTGCGAGCCAAATCTGAGTGACAAAAGGATATAAGCACCATCCATATATGTGCAATTCATTCATTAGAAGGATTCTACAAAAGGTATTTTAATGAACAGAGATATACATAAATGTTTACATTTCAAGGAAGTATATATATAAAACTACAAGGAAAACTGGGCTGGGAATTTCTTCAATTCTTGATTGTAAAAAATGAACCATTTTTTCAGTTTACAGGATCTCTTAGAATCAGAATTCCATAGATAGAAAAGGTAATATTTCTACTCTGCAAGTTATTGTGTTCTTGATTATATTTTTAAAAATCTAAGAAATGCGATCCATAGCACTCTACTTGTGCTTTCTAGGGGTATATATCTTTTTCTGTTAGGTGATTCTATACAATGAGTCCCGTACAACATACAAATTTTATTACATTTATATTATAGTCATATCCAGAGATTTGCAATTTTGGAAGAAATGAATGTATAAGTTTCATTGTGTTGTATGAGGCACATAGCATGGTTCAATCTTCCTCTCCTGGCGTAGTTGTGTTTCATGGCTATCTATTGAGCCTCTGAACTAGAAACACCAGTATATTGATCAGTGCAAGAAATAATATAACCCTATAGATCTGATACATGTCCTTTATTAGAAAGCCGAGAGGAGGCATATCGATAGGGGCAGCTCTGCAGCCTCACATGAAGGCTAGAAAGACAGTTGTCCAGATCTTCTGACAATCTGCTTCCGCTTATGAGAGATTGTACACAATTGTATATATGGTAAAGAGGAAGGGTGAACAACCTTAAGATGTCTATGCAAAGGGCATATATTCTGAAATCGACAAATAAAATCTTTCTGGCATTCACATCTAAGAAGGTATACATGCATGCATAAGGGCCATGTCCAGATTTCTACTAATCTTTGGATATATATACTTTGGCTCTGAAATTCAGCAAACATAACTGCAAATAATAATAACTTATACTTATATAGCGCTTTTCATAAGAGATTTATATCAAAGCGCTTTACAATATTGCAAAGATTAAATTAATTTTTAGTAATGCTATATAATAAATTTAGATAGTATACAGAAATGTCAGACTTACCTTGGGAAATCAATGTATGCAAAGTGACCATGATAGAAGCCAGGTTGCTTGGCTGACCAATTGGAGATATTCCTAACTATACCGATCTGACAGAGACAAAAGAGAAAAGAATACAATGGAATAATAAATTAATATTAAAACTACTTGAAGGAGATTCAAGAAAACAAGAATAAAAAAAACAAACATGTAAAACAAGTACAGTATAAACAAAGATATACAAATATTAGGAATAACAGGTACTAAAAGAGAGCATTGATCCATCATCGTTTTTTAAATTATTGTTTTATTTGTGTGTTTATTAAATTTTCATTCATAAAAAATTACATATTTACAAGTCATTGGTAATAATTAGACATACAAACAAACAAAAAACCAATATGTATAAGAACAAATAACAATAATGAAAGGACAAGAAAGTTATACAAAACCATTACAGTAAAAAAAGACCTCGAATTTACCCAAAACATCCATCAAAGGTGCACACGAACATAGTTTTTTAAAGTACAAAAGGTAGTTTTGATTTTTTAAGGTTATCCATCGTCGTTTTTATTATTTCATCATTCACAAGGCATGGCCTCAGTAATTTTGTCATTAGTTTCACTGACCACATGATTTATTTTGAAGGGGGCATGTTTTTTGTTTCTCTCTCTTTTTTTTTTAGACAGTGTGTAGCTGGAATATGAGTCAGTCAATCACATTAGAGATGCAATGCGAATGTGCATGTCATTTCTATAGCCAGTGGAGCATCAAAAATGCAATTGCGTAGGGAAAGTTAACTCCCTTCTCGGGAGAAAGTTCCCTCAAGCGTATCTAAAATGTATGGATTTTTAATGATGAGCACTTACAGAGGCTGCTAAATCAGGAAAAGAGGAGGGAAGGAGGAGGGAAGGAGGAGGGGAGGATGTTTATTTATTTCATTTAAAGGAAGAAGGAAGCAATTTCTCAAACACTGAAAAAACACATCCCTTTAAAGAGAAGGTTGAGTTCTGGGAAGAGATGAAAAATAATTTGTGAGCATTATGTATTATGCAAGTGTGGAAGAACATCAGTAAAACATGTTCCCTGTAAAGCATGGCTCTTCAAATGCCTTAATATTCTAAATATGGCATGTAGCATCATAAAAATCGGGATGGAATTTTTGCCACGTGTTTGTTTAGACCCATATATATCTTTCTGTGTACAGTGCTTGTAACTTTATCAAGTCTGGGCCAAATTTCTAATAGCATTTACATGATTCTAGAACCTTGCAATACACATAAATATTTATATGCTAGATGATCAATCTTTCTGATCGATTCCACAATGTTTCTTTCACAATGCAATCGCTTGACCAGAACTCAACCTTCTCTTTAAAATCCAATGTGCCATACCAATAAATGTGCCCCTATTGTGTTCTTATGCCCCTCAATTGCTTTACCCAAAAAGGAACCTGAATAGACATTCTGATAACCATTTCCTTTTGGCTTGTCAGACAATTTTCAGAATTTCAACCCCCCCCCCCCCCCCAACTATTTTTATGCTACAGAATCCAAGATCTGCTCCTGCTAGACAGTGGCTATATTTCATGTTTACCTTTAAAAATGAAAATAGAAGATGTCAGGAAAAAGAAGGAAAACAACAAATCATACAGTCGACAGAGATATATGAAAGACAGTAAAATAGCAAGATTCTATATACATCTGAACCAGCAGAATAAAATGAGTTAATAGCAGACACAAATATTGAAGATTTCATGTCTTTTTCCTCTTGGGGTACGTTTAAAAGGTTTGACCTATACACGATAGACCGACAACATTTGCTTTCAAACTAGGCATTCATTAAGGCGTCTGCACGGCGTAATCCAAGTGTCACTATTGGGAGCCTCATCAAATTTCTATCGATCAATACCAAGGCCGGGGGCTGATTTGCGAGAAATCTGCTGCCCTCCTGGGGTTGATGCAAGAAAGGAAATGTCAAGAAAATAAACGAGTTTGCTTGTAAAATGTTTTTCCCCTCCCCTCCCTCTCCAGAAAGAAAAACAATCGATGCCAGAGTGTATACATGGCTATAGGCTAATATGATTTGCATTTGGTGGTCAACGTCTCTCTCTCTCTCCCCCCCCCCCTCCCCCCCCCCCCCCCCCCCCCCCCCCCCCCCCCCCCCCCCCCCCCCCCCCCCGCCCCCCGCCCCTGGCACAATTTTAAATAGGGCAAGTACAGCTTGGAGGGCATTTCTCTCTGGTGTGAGCCAGAAGGTCAATAACTTAGATCCATTTTGAATGATATGAAAAATTGTATAGGGAAACAATGAAGACAACCATACCATGAAAGAGGCCATGAAACATATCAAATAAATAAACGGAGTACAAAATAATATGTTTATGAGGGAAGTGCACGATTAGCAACAATTACAAAATGTTAAGGTGATAAAATTGTTGTTCTTTGTGATGACCAAATCTCTGGTTTGCAAAATATTATACTTCATTGTGTGCTGAGAGTTACAAAAATGGTTTTAACTCAGTTACTGTAATTGATATAAAGAGTTTATAATGTTTTATGACAGTGTACCAAAATACTACAAAGTTATGATATGTGTGTTCACTAGCATTGTTGATTGCATGATTTCAGCCATCATGGATTGTATGGTATCCTCCAATAGTCAAAACACAATTGTTATTCTTCTTCTGTTTTGGCTTATTGGCGATTAGTCAGTTGTGACTATTGTCCCCAAAATATAAGAGTATGGTGTTCTCAAATTAACAATAAACATGGAAATATCTAGCAATGATACAAAGCTTTCTTGAAGCATTTAAAATAAATCTATATATTTTCCTTCTCTTCTTCTTCTTCTTCTGTTGAAGTACAGGCCACCATGTTGTTGGTGTATCTTCGTACTTTTTGTGCAGATATATATGTAGTCTTTAATGCATTTTCAGCCATAACAAGTGGAATGACTAAGTGATAAGCCAACTTTTCACAATCTATAAAATGATTGTGTTTTAAAAGTGAAGATCAAGTGCTTTCCAAAGCAGAAATAAGAGCAAAGCCCTCCATCTCAAAGAAATCCACCCGCAGCATTGAGTTTCCTATCAAAAGTTACACACTTTACAAGAGACCCTTATCCCAAGGGAACTAATGTACTTATTAACCCAGAAGTCCGACAATATGCCAGCATATTTCTTCTGACTTCTAAAAGGACAATAAGAACTTGATATTTCTTCAATGACTTTGGCTGATAAAATCAATCAGCGTGAAACAGATACCTTATTAAGTGCCGGATGACCGGATCTGAAACCAAACCTGCCCCAAGTGCAGGTAGGTTTGTTTCGTGAGTATAGAGAGGAAAGAGGTAGATAAGAGGGGCAAGGAGTTAGCTACCTAAATCACAATTTAGACAAAAAAATAATTTCAAAAATCTCCAGAGACTTTGCAACCTAACTTTTGTGATTTTTTTTAACATTGACCATTTTTGCAGCAAGAAAGTTTTGCAAATTAATCGCTACAGTCACTGTTTATCAATCATTGAGGAAGATGGAACTTTAACAAATCCGGAAGTTTCCAAAACATGATCGCAACTTGTTTCTAAATATCAGCTCAAGGGCAATTTCAATACCCTGTTGAATGTCCCATAGAAATCATGTTCATTACACTAATACTTCATAGTCATGTTCGCACATTTCAATAAGGCTATTGGAATTGTGTGGGGTTGATCTTTTGAAAGTAGTTGCTATTTTAATACGGATTACTTACTTTCAGTCATCTACAAAGCAATATGAAATATTACCATGTTACCATGTTACAAAGGGTGACTGGATATAATTTGCTCCTGCAACACTTTCTCTGATCGTTATTTCATCAATGTTATATGTCAGGGTTGCAAATGGGTTTAGATTAGGGTTAGGATTGCAATTGGGGTTAGTTTAGGTTTAGGCTTAGGGTTACAATTGGGGCTAGTTTAGGCTTAGGGTTAGGGTTATAATTGGGCTTAGTTTAGATTTAGAGTTAGGTATGTTGTGGAGTTTAGGGTTGAAATTAAGAATTCAGTTAATGCAGGAAATAAAATCAGAACATAATTTTTTGCAGGAGAAAGTGTCATACATTTGCACAAAGTTATGATATTTCTGTTCTTTTAAAAATAATCTTTTTGACAGGTACTACCAATCAGTTATCAAAAGCAGAAAGAATTCTACTGATGCAGAAAAAGAAGAAGGGCTAAAAATGCAAAATACCCTACCATCACGCGTCTCTCTCTCTCTCTCTCTCTCTCTCTCTCTCTCTCTCTCTCTCTCTCTATATATATATATATATATATGTGTGTGTGTATGAGTGGGTTTTAATATGGAGTTTGAATTAGTTTTAATTCATACCCCTAAACATCAAGAATAACACTAAACTGAAGTTGCTCAATTGCAAAGTTGGTTTGGGATAGATGCAAGGCAATTATGTGCAAAGCAATAGATTAGAGTCTCTGCTTTACAGACTAATATCATATACAGGTGTGAGTCCTAACCGACATGTAAACTGTTAATAACAATTACTAATGATTCAAATAACAATCCTTGGGATTTTGGGATTTCTCACTGAATCTAGTGAGAAATTCACCCCTTTTTACTCACAAAAGAAGTATGAGAGCATAGATGCAAATAAAGACTCTTGTGAATAGTACATGAATAAAACGTGAAGTTTGCTCCTTTTAAAAGGTTAACAAAAGGGGAGCTGGTGCATCGCTCATTGAAGGAGACTTCACAGTTCATTAAGTAGGTTTAATATTGACTCACGCTGTTTCGTTTCTATACAGTTCATCTTTACAGAAGGCAACCCATGCGCATGATCATTCAAATTGTCTCACTGTTGATGTAAGGATACAAATAATAAGTTTGTCCACAAGATCGACCCTGGACCTGGTATGAACTCTGTGAGACACCCTTAAAGTTCATATTTAACTTTAATAATAATTATAATATAAAAATTCAATGTACATGTATGTGGGGCATACTAGTAGTTAATTCTCTTTGAGCCTACAGTCATCATAATTTTTTATTTTATGAACTGGGCACACACTTTTAGACAACCAAAAACAAGGATCATTTTATCTTACATATATTTCT